ACAGAGGGGAGTGGGTTGCATTCAACAAGAAAAATTATACAATGAATAACTTAAAGGCAAAGCACATATTAGTTATGAACAATACAAATTAGAAACAGCAGCCCTTGGTGACACGGCAAGCTCCAGAATATTCTAGACACGTTTCATCACGACGGATGTCGCTCTCCTTGGTGAACATCCAGTACTGGTTTCATCCCTGTCATAGCCATGGACACATGCCTTTCGTATGTTGCCTGGGCCGACTGGGGCTGTTCAGGCAGGTCTTCATATCTATTTTGTTTCACCCTAGCTGCTGCTGAACGGGTCCTGCTTCGCGTGGTGCAGTTGTTTACTTTTGTGTCCAGAATTGCATGTCGGCATCTGGAAATACTTCTTGCATGTAGTTCCACGTGCTGCCCAACGATGAATTGAAGCACCGTGTTAAAAAAGAGAATACCGAGGGCTAAACCGGAACATTATGTACCAACTTACCGGCATTACTAATCTAGTCTCTGGAGCCGTGCACACGGAGACCAATAGACGTTCAACATTCAGGTCGTTTTTTTTTTTAGCTCTGTAATTATACCTTTTCAGACAATTCTGAAAACTCATGTTCAGAATTGAAGTTAATCGCAAGACGCCGAGAAGTTTGCTGCACGTTATGCGAATGTCGCATTTCCAACACAGCACAGAATTGGGCATACCGGTAGAAACTGAGGGAGAGGAGGACATGAGAGCGTGCGGGGACGTCAAAACGCCGAGCTCTGGTTGGAAAGACTAGGACGCAAAGCTTAGTGCCTAGCGCTCGAATACTGCGTATGATATCAAAGCAGCACCGCGACAACACTGCGCGTAAGCTCCGGGATTTTAGCGCCCTCGCCAGGCAGTGCAAGCATCGTTCACGCACGCAGTGGTTCAGAAAAGCATAGTCGTGCTTAGTGTCGCGATCAGTAGAGACATGCAGACCTTGCAGGGACCCCGGAACCGGGGGGGGGGGGCACGGGGGTTTGAGTTCCCGCTGTCGTTTTCCGGGGGTGCTGGGCAATATGCCGAGCCCCCGTGCATTTGGCTCAAGGCCTCCCTTTCTGAGGGGGCTGCAGTCCAGGGCCCCGGTCGGCCCGTGCTGGTCCCCAAACATTTGGAGGAAAAAACATGCTACTCGGCTTTAGTTTAGAATAGCTCAGACCTAAAGTGGAACACAACTCAGAGGAGCCTTTATGCCCTGACTTTCTGACGTCGTGCCATTCCCCGACCTCCTTTTTTATTTATTTATTTATTTATTTATTTCAAAATACTGCCAATCCCCGAAGGGATTATTGCAGGCATTGGTACATAATAAAAAGATACATGTGAGGCATTTAACAAGGAATGAACAACCACTTCTCGTCATTCAAAACATCGAACAATTACGGTAAAAGTTCATCTTCGACTGCATTGATAAATGATTCAACAGTGCCGTGACGGAACACGTGTGGATCAAGGCTATTCCAGATTCTAATGGCAGAGGGAAAAAATGAGTGTTTAAAAGTGTTATTATGAAACGAATAGTCAACAAGTGTATGGCTGTGCTTGTGTCTAGTCGGTCTTGTGTTAGACAATTGAACGCACTTGGATGAGTCAATCTTAAAGGCACCTTGTAAAAGAAGGTAGAGAAATTTCAGACGATTTAACGTTGCGCGGTCAGTAATGGTCTGTAAACCTGCTCTTTTCAGAAGCTCTGTGGGGGAGTCAAAACGACCATACTTGTGATAAACAAACCTAATTGCCTTTCTCTGAAGGCTTTCAAGTGTGTTTATGTTTATATTCGTGTGAGGTAACCAAGCAATATTTGCGTATTCAAGCACTGGACGTATAAGGGTTTTATATGCTAGAAGTTTTGTTTCACAAGACGAACATTTTAGGGTTCTCTTCAGAAAGAATAATTTCGTGAGAGCTTTATTAAATACATATTTAACGTGTGCGTTCCATTTAAGATCAGATGTTATCAAGACTCATAGGTACTTATACTCGGTGACTCTATGCAACAGTTCATCTTTAAGGCTATATTGAAACTGGGAGACATTCTTTTTCTTTCTCGTCAAACTCATGGAGACAGTTTTTTTCTTTGTTAATCACCATTTGTCAGTCATCGCACCAGTCGGAAATCTTTTTAAGGGATTTGTTTAGTAGGATGTGATCGTCTTGGTTCTTAATTTCTTGATATATGATACAATCGTCAGCGAATAATCTTATGTTAACATCAATGCCATCGGCTATGTCATTCATGAAAAGAAGAAATAAAAATGGAGCTAAAACTGAACCTTGTGGGACGCCGGATACTACAGCAACTGGTCGCGTAATTTGTCCCTCGTAATAAACAAAATGGAAACGGTTTTTGAAGTAATCTTCAGTCCATGCATTTATCGGTCCTTCGCCCAAAACATGTTTAAGTTTTATTATCAGTTTGTCGTGGGAAACGCGATCAAACGCTTTCGAGATATCCAAGAACACTGCATCTACCTGACTTCTGTTGTTTATGCCCATCGTGAAATCGTGAAGAATCTCAATTAGCTGTGTAACGGTCGATAGTCCACTCCTAAAACCATGCTGGTGTGGGAATAAGATATTGTTATTTTCTACAAATGATGTCATGACTTTGAGAATAATATGCTCAAGAAGTTTGCAGCAGGTGCAAGTAAATGATATGGGCCTAAAATTTGAAGCTAGAGTCTTATCGGCAGATTTATGTATAGGGATTACTTTCGCAACTTTCCATTCGGCGGGTACCGAAGAAAGGAAGAGAGAATTGTTAAAAATTAGCACTAAAGACTTGCTAACCCATTCGGCGTATCTTTTAAAAAACATTTGGAATTTCGTCAGGACCGTTACTTTTTTGGTGTCTAAATTGAGTAAAAGTGCAAATATGCCTGGTTCCGGAGCTATTAGGCTTCCAAGTTCTTCAGCAGTGTTGCATTGTGGTAGAGTTAAACTGTCATTACCATCATCAGCTGTAAATACCGACTTAAAGTAACCGTTCAATTCATCTGCCATTTTTTTTCTCTATGGAGCTCATACAATTCATTTGAGACTTTTTTGGGTTAGCGTGGTTCCAAAATTTCTGAGGTGACGTTTTCATGAACTTGTGGAGGGTGACATTATAGTACTTATGTTTGGCTTCTTTAATTTTTACAACGGGAAAGCAGGGATGTCACAAAGGTACCCGATTTAGACAAGCTGGTGTTTGTGAGCTCGTTGTAAAAAACTGCTAGAGCAACAAAATGTAAGCGTTGCCTCCCATTCTCCTTGTCGGAGGGTGCAAAGCTGCCGACGCTGGCGGTCCCTTTGAGGTCTCTTCTAATTGAAACCAGACGGAAGGACGGCCACGGAGTCTTCTATTGTACTGGGGCACCCTCGACGCGTAGTACGGACAATAGTGGGTTGGAAGGCAAGCAAGTGTTGTCGAATGCTACACGAGCAACATACATGCTGCTACACATTATTTTTATTATATATATATGGTCTTTTAGTGTAGTTTCATATGGAAAATCTCCTCCGAAAAAAAAAATATCGGTGAACCTCCCGAAGCATTTTTTTTTCTAACCGCTACAGGCGTTTCAAAAAGCCGGCTCTTGAGATGTCCCCCAAAAGTTTTCGAGAGGCAGTGACTGCAAGCCATTGCTCTGGAGCCCGTGTCTGATCTGCCAGTGCGATACACCTTTTCTGCCATCGAGTGATATGACCACTGCAATTTTTTTTCGATCCTCTGATGTACGATTTTTTATTCTTAGCTTAGAGCACGGGTGGCCAAGCTGTTGCTTTTTGCGTGTTAAAATGCGGCTCGTGGCTTCATAGTATACCTAACACCCCCTTACCCCCTTTCCTCCCGGCCACATGAGCGCTTCCCCGAGACGAGAAAAAGAACGAGATTTAAAGCGAGACAGATTCCGTTTTGGTTCTGTGCTACCGCTCCCATACGTACGTACAGTCGAACTGCTTTTGACTTGGATATATCTAAGGTAGTTCAAGTTTCATTTATTGGTCTAAAAAAGTTTGGAACCCCCTTCCCTTTTTTTCTGCCATCTTTTTTTAAGCGGTTTTTGGAAGTTTGGAAGAAGAGTAATACGTCTAAATGGCTGCGAAGCTCTATATTTTGTGAACTTAGAAGAAACAAGACCATTTCCAAAACTAATTGAAACATCTTACCTTTACCACAGACAGGATGTAAGAGAGAAGTTTGAAAATGCCTCCTTGATCTTCATGAGAGATGACCGTGAATGTGCCCAAAGTGACAGTGGTTTCTATATTACAATCGCATTAACTCTTAATTATTTACTTTACTATTTGTATGCAGAGGTCTGTTAGTTTGGGGCACGAGAGTTCAGTTATTAGAACAGGGTGGACGAGGCGGTTTGAGCCCTAAATACTCTAACCACCAATATTACTTTGTTATATGTTTTGCTTTATTGTTCAAGTCCCCATATGTAAGATAAAAGTAAATAAATGAATTAAAAAAAGTCAGTAATTAAAGGGGTCATGAAACGATATCGGGTTGGAATGTTCATGACTTTAAAGAATGTTCATGACTTTAAAGAAGTCTGAATATATGGACACACCGTATAGGTAGGAAAAATAAACCTTCTATAAACACTAAACCACAAAGTTGGCATATTGTTTTATATTGCTCGGAAGAAAATAGAGGCCTTTCTATAGGCATGCACAAAGAAACAAGAACACAGCAGTCGTCATATGTCGCCGACAGATGGTTAAATCAGAAACAATAACAACTTCCTGCCTAAAACCTAACAGCTGCTTTTTTTTTTTTTTTTGTAAACGTAATATCTACGCAGTTGTCACAGATGTTTGCAGGGACGGAAAATATATATGTTCTTAACCATACGCAGTAGGGCCGATCTTTTATTTAGGTGACGACTAGAGATCACATCTCAGGTGGAACACGACCAAAACACACATACACACACACTTCAACAATTGTGGTATTGCTGCCATCCTAATGGAGTTACCTGAAATCTATGTTGTGGCAGGAGCGTCGGAAGAGCCGACCGTAATGGTGAAAAGAAGAGCCGTGACCAGTAGTTTTCTCAAAGAGGTTGCGTCCACACCGGCTCTGCCGAGAACAACAGCGGCTCAGAGGGCCAAGAGGACATTGCGTCAAATCCCCGGGATTCTTCTTCGGCTACTTCCCTGCATCACGTGGGTGGCAAACTATGACGTCAAGAGGCAGCTTGTCCCCGATGTCTTGGCTGGACTTTCCACCGCTGTTCTGCACGTGCCACAGGGTAAGCGGGGCTGGAAGCGAGGTGAAACTCAAAACATTTAGTGCTGGAGAATTAGTCGCACTCACTGACTGGATGAGAACATAGCCTTCTATATACTGACAAAGCCTGGCAGATCGCCACGAGAAGCGGCCGCCGAAATGGAAAAGGGGGAGCGGCAAACAACGGATGAGAGGAGAGCCACGTGACTGGCGCCCCGCTGCGGCGAGACGCCGAAACACAGTTCTCTCTAGCGAACAAGCGTGTATCCGGTCCTCGCTGCTGCAAAAGCTGTGAACTGACGTCAAGGTTCTCCAAGAAATGGTTCTTTGATGCTCTGCTACCAGATCCTTGCCTTCCAAATCTGCGACTGAGCACTCTATGGCTCCATCGTCGAACTGCCAGGCTTTGTGAGTATCGATGAGGCTATGGTGAGAACGACAGGGAGTTCCTTCAGTTTCCCAGGCGCAAGCTTCCTAGCTCCGATATCGTTTCGGTATCTCATGAACCTCAAGCGTGCACGCGCAGCCAAAGAACGGGGGAAGGCAGCGAGCGCATGATGGAGGCTTCCGAAAGAGACGCTATTCATTATCTTGTCAGTACCAGAGTTTCCATCGCGTCTGCTTGAGCATAAGGGTCGAGTCAGTAGGTTGATGGCGGCCATATTGACGCCGTAGAAAGAAAAAACACAAGAACGTAACGTTTACAAATATGAGCATTGCACTGCCGGTGAATTACGAAAGATTGGTAAGCAATGGGCGTGTTGCTTTGGCTTCCAAAACCTGCAGTCTCTAATATATACAGATCACAAACGGAGATTGCTAGTCAGTTCCTGCTCGAGAGCGGGCTCTGCCAGGTTTGCTCGCTCGTGACACTGTAGAGCCGCGATATTGTAGCCATCAATTTCAGTACCGCGGCGCTGTTATGAAACGAAGCTTAGAACTTGCAGTTTTCTGGGAGTGACAACACCGTACGTGTACAATGGAAAAATGTGCCGCAAACTCTCAGGGAAAATAAATTTCTGTCAGGAAGCCTCAGGTTGGCGGCGGCCGACGTTTTCTGAACGGCCTTGTCTCGCTAAAGGGACAAAAACAAAGACGAAAAAATATGTTGTGTGGTTTAAGCAACCTTCCCCTGTACCGCTTGTAGAGAAAGGTTTTGTTCTGTGACCAGCTGGTGACACTCAAAGGCAAAAAAAAAAAAAGTAGCTAAAATGAGAGAAGGCGCAGGCAAGCTCGTTTACGGCAATACTGGGGAAAATCGAGAAAAGAAAAAAAATACCAGAAGGGGACAAGCACTACGAATTCCAAAACGCAGCTTCAATTTTATTTACATGACAGTCTCGAGACATTAGTGACCGAGAGGGCTAGCGCACACCAGCTTGGAGCACGTGGATCGAAAGCCCGCGTTGCAGAGTCCAGGGATACTGGGTTCAATCCCCACCCGTACCCGTTTCAGTCTGGACGAGCATCGTACCGGCGTGCGGTCGTGTATCACTACTGCGTGGTGCACGTTAAAGAACCCAGGCTATAGCGGTTACACCGCACTGGCCAGATTGCTAACCTACAGCTAAGACACCAGATGCCCATTGGGACTGACTAACTTCCGGCTGTATAAACATCGACGCAGCATAATTACACGACAGCCTTCTTTTCAAAACGACATGGTGACCATCAATGTCTTTCTAAAATTTTGACGTGACGATAAGACGCTGTGAAGATCTCAGAAACAGGCTCCCAAATATGCCACGAGGGCGAGTGACCAGTTTCTTTTAAAGTCAAAAAACGTTAGCTTTTAATATAGGCCTCCGGCATCTGTTTTTTTTTTTTGTGTGTGTGTGTGTTTTTTTGCATGAATACGATTGATTGATTGATGTGCGCAAGAGTTAACTATACATTTCACTGTTCGCCCAGGCATGGTGTCAGCCATCATCTCCGGCGTGGGTCCCGTGTATGGCTTGTACAGTTCTTTGTACCCGGCCCTTGTCTACGTGCTGCTGGGCACGTCGCCCTACATCTCCATGGGTACGTATCAGACTTGTACCGGACGCATTACAAGTAATCAAATTACTTGTAATCGATTGCTTTTTGGAGTAATTTTATAATCAGTTGATTACTTTTATTAGGCAGTAATCACAAGAGTAATCTTATTACTTTTTGAAGTAATAAAATTACTTGTAACCGTTACAATTTGTCCACGCCCCCCTCCCCCCGGCACACGCCTTTTTTTTATGAAATGACAAAAATACAATTTGCTGTTGTTTTTTTTTCGGACGGAAAAAAAGAAAGATTTTTGCGGAGCTGTAGGAAACGAGGTCAATCTCTTTCTATGTACAGTTTCTGTGGAATGTCCGTTTTTTTTTTCTTTTTTTCGAGCTTGGACTGGGAGTGGGAAGCCCCAGGAAAGCCACAGTGCGTGACAAAGGCCATTCAGGGCGAAGTTTGAGGAAGCAGAAGGTAGCTTTGTGGGTCGTTCGTTCAAACTAGCCCCCTCACGCACACACACACAGAAATAAAAAACAATAAAAAAATCCTGCTTAGGATACCTACTCGCAGCCCGTAGGAGAACCACAACCGAAGAATGCCTAAAGCGGATGCAAAATATAACAAAGGCAGTTGAAGTATTTCCCCATTTCCCCTACGTGGTCTTTGTGACAAGCAATGTTTCGAGTTGAGAAGTGGTCGGGGCGATCTCTTCCACTAATGGATACTACACATGACCCGTTTCAAATCCTGGAGCTACTGCTCTTTTGTATAACATACGAGCTCATCCACATGTGAATAATAAAATATGAAATGAGCGACGCAAACTTTGAGCGACAACCCTTGCTCAAGCTTAACAAGATCTAAAATCCCCTCCGCCCCCCCCCCCCCCCCCCACACACACACACAAACTGGCGAACGCCCAAATCATTAAACGTCTTCAAACGAATTCTATGCTTGTGTCTGCATTGTGAAGGTGCAACGACCACGAAGAGGGAGCCAGTTTTTCTTCTTCAATACTTGTGCAAGTGTGAAATATAGGTTGGAAGTAGTTCATTGTTATGAGCCGTCAAGTAATCAAGTAATCTAATCGAACACTTTTTAGCCAAGAGTAATAGTAATTGTAATCGATTACTTTTTTTTAGTAACGTGTACAAGACGTATATACAACGCGCGTAGGACATTCCACATCGGTGACGCCGAGGGACGACGCCGTTGAGTGCACTGCTGGCTATTTAGTGATAAAGCAGTGATGACGAAGTCGAGCCGGTGTAGATTTACCTTTTTCCTAAACAAACTGAGACAGGGTGGCGATCGGGAAGAATCCAAAGTGGGAGATAAAGGGACAGAATGACAGAAAACAATGTCTTAAATACTTAGTGTTTAAAAAGCAACAAAACAACAACAACGAAGAAACAGTTTTTTTTTACACCTTGGAAAAAGAACCACGTCGTCTCTATTTTGTGTTTTTTTTCTTTTTTAGTGCAAACTGCGCATTTGTTTTAGGTGACATACTTTCCTATAGAAACACGTCGTTTTTTTTTTCTCTTTTTTTTTTTTGTAGCGTTAGTTAGTCGTCGAGAATTTCACTGCGTGTTATGCGAAGGATCGCACTTTAAACAATGCGCAGAATAGGGCGTACAGGTAGAATTTGAGAGAGAGGAGGGCATAGTGGCGCGCAGGGACGTCAGAAGGCCGATCTCTGGTTGGAAAGATTAGGACGCAGAGCCTTGGTCTCTACTCAGTGCTCGAATGCACTCGAAGACTGAGTATGGTTTCAATGCTCGGTCTAATAGATGCCTAGTTGTTTTCTCGAGTCGCAAGTTTTAGGTACTACAAATGCCAGTCGCCTTTTACCTACAAATTTTTGCGCTTGAATAAAAAATTTGCAATGGTAATCACCAAAATTTTTTCATCGGCTGTATCCAATTAATGAATGACCCTGAATTTGACGCAAATTGAACTACCGAGGAACGGTTCTCCTCCCATTGAACGTCTGTGGTTCGCAATTTCACTGTCTTAAGCGAAGTCCCTCGAGGTTTGAAAACCACTGCCCCAATTATTATTTCAGTTTGTGTTTTAAGCACTAATTAATTAAGCAAAAGCGTAATAAAGTAGGTTCAAAGAGAGATCGTAAAGGAGCTCTCGTTTCGTTCCGGGTTTCGTGCTTAGAGAACACTGTTTTGAATGACTCTTGAGAGTCCCCCTTGCATACAAAATTATAGTTTCGAATACATACTCCTCGGTGGCTTCAAGTATATTGGAAGCACGCAAGGAATATTTTTTCGTAAGATTTTTGTTTTTGTTCATGTAGTTCTCATATGTTTGCCTTTCCTTATAAGGAAGGGCAAACTTACGAGAACGTCTTCTCTAATGTGCCTGGCACAGCCAACAACAATGAGCTAAACCCAGTTGTACTATTACTGCAGCAATAACTTGCGTGATGTAGTAAACAAAAAAACGTGAAACATAAAAAAAAAAAACGAAGGTTGCTCAGTGAAAAAGAACTTAAATGCATATAGAAGTATAGCTCCTACCGGCTTAAGAAACGGACGTTCGCAGTTCTTGCTTCCTCATTTGTTCTCCCGGCGTTACTATCCGCTGATGCTACAATCTCAATGGCCGCGGAGCCATAATGAGACTTGGAACCCGCCACCCGCATTAATTTCGAAGCTTTCATAGTTAAGCATAGCAGAACGAAGCAGTTCAAGAGAAAGTTAAACGAAGCAGTTCAAGGCTTTCCATAAAGCTCTCTGCTTGCTATGATTGGGGGTTTCTCCTTTTACCTTCTCTCCAGCGTTCGCTCTGCTAAAGAGCGTGTAAGGTTTTTTGAGAGGCCCGTAACAAACTATACATCTAGTGTCAATTCGTGGAGGTCACACGAACGTTTTAGAGTCAACGCTAGAAACGGAGTGAAAGAAGACATCGTGTTTTCTTTCGGTTATAGGGCACTATGCCAACGGAAGCGTCCCAAACGAATGGCGATGATGCTACATTCGTGTCCAGAAGCAATTGACGCGGTCCCATCTTGGTGTGTCGTCGCAGGGATGTTTCCGGTGACGGCACTGATGACGGCCAACGCTGTCAAGAAGTTCGGGGTCGAAAGCAACGCAACGGTTGGCAACGAGAGCTATCCCGACTTCGGAGATTCCCCGGCCGGTGTGGCCATCACTGTTACGATGATGAGTGGGCTGATCCAGGTGGGCTAGACTTACTCTTTCTGCGCTAATAAGTAGCCAGTAGCATGATATCATAAATATGACGATAGGTTGTTGACAGAGGTTTGAGAAAAGTGATTATAACCTTCTTGCCTTCCGTCATTCATAACCTCAGTCTAAGAGAAGACCAAACCATTTCTTTATTATAGAGGAGGCTTACAACGGGATTATGTTTAAATCACTGATCGTACTCTTCTTATTTGCACTGAAAAAAGAAGACTGAAAAAGCGCATCCCCTTAGCGTAGACTACAAACTGACCTGCTATTATTCCAAGCGTTTCGATCTGCTCTTACAGATCGCCCTGTGGCTACTGCGCCTGGACAGGCTGTCCGTCGTCATCTCTCCCATCATGGCCGAAGGCTTTCTGGCCGGAGCTGCTTTCACAGTTGTCGCCACTCAAGTGCCGCCCGTCTTCGACGCTCCCTACCAGTCATTCAAGGGCGTCTTCGGCACAGTTCTGGTGAGTGTTACCCCAGCCGTAGTAACCGTGGTCATAGTGCCTGAGTTACTAACAACTCCAGAGCCGCTAGGCATGCAGGCAGATTGATTCTTGAACTGCTTCGTCATCACCATTCGTGCGACAGAGCCTGTACAGCCTGATGACGAACATTCTTTCGAGCAACGTGGTGACAACGTCGATGTCCCTGGTTGCGTTCGTCCTGCTGGGAGTATCCAAGTTTGTGTTTGGCCGGAGGCTCAAGAGGGTTACTGCCATTCCATTGCCTGCGGACCTGATTCTCGTAAGTATACTCAGAAGCCCCTTCCCGTTAATGGCTCGCTATCACTGCGGAAACCAACAACCTACACTGCACTCCAACTAAACACAGCTTTTGAGGACCCGAATGGTTTTTGACAGTACTCTTTGTTCACGTGGCCGGCTGGCAAGACTCAAGCATAAGAAGTGTTTTCGAATAAGGCGTTTGGCACTTCTGCAAACAGTGCTTGTCGGATGTCCGCCTATGTCCTGTACTGGTAAGATATCATTGTCTTAGTTTAATCACGTCATCAATACATCAATAAGAAGACGCAACATGTTTCACGCACATATATAGGGGGATCGGTGGCCGAGTGGGCTAGCGCACACCAGCTCGGGGCACGTGAAGCAAAAGCTCGCTCTGCATAGCTCAGGATTCCTGGGCTCAATCCCCACCCCTGCCCGTTTCGATCTGGATGAGCATCATACCGGCGTGCGGTAGTGTATCACTACTGCGTGGTGCACGTTAAAGACCCCAGGCTAGGGGTTGTACTGCACTGGCTAAATTGCTCATCTACAGCAAGTGACTCGTCGCAACTTTAAAATGGCTGACCAACTATACGCTGTATAAATGTCCACAAATCCCCAATTAATTATTTAGACTTATGGTTGTTTTTAGTTACATTGTAATTAAATTATTATTTTTTTGTTTTGTTTTGTTTGACATTGGGGGGGGGGGATGAAATACGTTCTATCTATGTATTCCTGGTAGTTATTTTTGCTATTTTGCACACCACGCCCCCAGGAGCATATAAAGAGAAGTTTCCAAGTATATGTATAAATATATACTATGTACGTCTGTACCTCTATTCACCCATAGCATGTTTCAGCGATCGAACTACTGCGATGTGCAGGTGTTCTTGATAATGTTAATAAACAGGCGAGCTGGTTGAAGTAACAGATAGTTAATACCTGTTTCTATGTTTCACTTTAAGATCTCTCGAGGTCACGGCGAATGTCAAGAAACGTTGTTAGCTGAGTTTGAGACAGGCTGTTGCTCTGTTCCTGTACTTCCGTCGTCTCCGGTTTTAACTATATATGCAGCTGTTTCTCGTTGTTGAACAAAAATCCCGGCGATCTCGGAAAGTGGGCTAATTAATGAAGAGCCGATTGACATCCCTGATGCTCTTTTCCCACATGGTTTCAGTGTGAAGCCGAGAACAAGCGTGACATTATGGGTCCATTTTACGTTAGTGTAACGAGGAAACATTATTTCAACCATAGACGGACGGAAGGTTAAAAGGGACAAACGCACAAGAGTAAAAGAAACCTTAAAAAGGCGATGCAGCGTCTTTTTTTCTTTTTACTTTGCATAAATATTGCTTAGAACGAATTTCTGACGATAATGACATATGAAAGACGCGTTAGTTTTCCATCACACGCAATAGAAGTTGCAGAAATAATTAAATAAAACAAGCAGCGTGCACCCCTTCATCTCGCAGCAAGAACAAGCGGCCACGTCATTTGGAGCTGATTATATGCCGCAAATGTTGATCATAGCCACGAGCTAGGGTTGGCAAAGCATAGGACACACGCTGAGCTCCAGACATTTTTAGGGTTCGGCTATTTTCTTCATTGCCGCGGTTGGACACGAGTCACTATCCAGATGCTTGTCGAGCTATCGATTATCACGACCCCGAATTGAGTGCTCACGCAATGCTCGGGTCTATTCTATGAGCCTTATTCAGGTGTCGTCACTGGGGAATGCTGCGACCGCCAGCTACGTCAAGTTTTGCGAAGGAGAGAGTGAATGAAAATGATCGCTTTTGTCCTTGAATTTGCCGCGCAACAAAGGAGTTACTTGGCCAGTGACGTTGCGTGTGAGCATCCTTGGGTTCCACTAGTGCGAGTAAGTTCGTGTAAAGTGAAAAACATTCCAACCGTGCATCGTTGCACGGCCCCTTTAACCTTAACCCATAGAGTTATTATAATGTACGCTAGAGGTTCAACTGGCGCTAGTGTGCTGTTGCAAATTGAAGCAGACAGCAAGCAGTCCGAAATCGACTTCCGGTAATGCATTTCTACAGAAAAAAGCGAGTGCATTTCCTTCTTGCGCTCGATTATAAGAGCAAATATCACGAATAATTCGTACCTACTAGGCACATTGGAACATTTCCCAGACACGCAGATAAAATAATTGGTCAGTTACGGTGTTTTTATTTTAAAATCGTGGCATGAAAAACGGTGCTAAAGCCGCTTCGTATATGTATTTATGTGCACTGTCGGACACTGTTAGCGCGAACACGGCGCCGGCGCTTTCCAGCATGGGGGTATACGTGCCAAACGAACGAAGGACATGTGGAAAACCAAGAGAGACGGCAAGAACTACGCAGCAACACTGGATAAGTAGCTCCTTGTGCTTGCAGACGATCAAAATAAATTGAAAGTCACGTAATATAGTCTGATTTGCAATAAATAAGTACTGCTTTATTCTTTCTGCTCATGAATACATGCGAAGATGCTTGTTCTGTGTCCAAATCATCACCCGCACGCTCCAAATCTTTGGGAAAAGCCAGGGAACAGGTGCGCGATAAAAACTGCCCAACATAGGAAATAATAAGAAAATACACCTTTCGTAACCCACGTACTTTATTCTTTACGTTTCGAACGTTTTTTTAACCACTCGTAAAGATACACGGCGGGGGAATTTTCATATAGTGAGAAAACAGGCATAATTGCAATATATAAGCACCAACAGAATGCTGGCGCACTTTGAATACGCTCTACATTCCTTTCGATTGTTATTTTGCTTGGAATCGTCGCTCGTTTCTAGATACCTGCCGTGAAACAGAGGTTTGGGCCTGAAATATAGCGAAGTTTAACTAGTTCAGTGGTAAAGGAAAAACGCTGTAACTAAAACAATTACACTTTCACAATATTAATAAAGGTACATACTATCCGGTACAACCAAATAACAAAACTTATTAATGTTATTTTCCGCCGACGAGACAAAATTCACGCGCGTTTTCCCATAGGAATACACAGGAAGACTGGAAAAGTAGACTGCATGCTGCCTGCTTCAATTTGCAACCGGAAGTCCCATAGACACTAGCGCCAGCTGAGCCTCTAGCGTGTATTATAATAACTCTATGCCTTAACCAGCTCGCCTTTTTATTAACATTGTTTTCAAGTATAAAGGGTATTATTATTAATTTGCTGTGTTTCGTTTTTGGCCTAATTGTGCGCGCTAGATGACTCATTTCAAATGTCTTCTATATACCTTCAATTAATAAATAATCCTCTCTAAAAAAGTCTGGTGTTTGCATGTACATGCAGGTGGCAGCTGGAGCGACGATATCGTACGTTCTCCACTTGCACGAGAGTTACAAAGTGTCTGTCGTTGGCGTCATCCCTTCAGGGTAGGTAACTCTCCCGGATACACCCTTGGTACCTGCAATTTGAACAATACTCCGAATAAAGAACGACATGCATAAGAATGAAGTGCTAGCGGATTGTTCTTTATAAGGCTTTGTGCTGACGATAGCGCTAATTATAAAGAAATCCTTAACGTATCTGACACCTCCGTCCTTCAAATTGATATTAATAATGTCGCTCATTGGTGTGCTGATTGGCTCATGGAACTTAACATCTCTAAATGCAGATCTATGAGAATGTCCCGTCGCAATAAAACCTGTCCTTCCTACTACATCACGAATTCAATTCTGCTTTCTGTTTCCTCCTATCAGTATATTGTTGTTCATCTATACCTCTCCTAGAATATCCATGTCCATTATGTCAGTAAAAGCGCTAATCAATTACTATAGCTATCCCAAACGAAAATTTTCGCTAACTCGTGTGTCTCTAAAGCTTTTTTTATACAAAACTTTATTTCGCTCTAAACCGGAATATGCAGCCTCTATCTGGAACCGCGGTATCACCCTCGCATCTGCTGTTGAGGCCATTCAGAATCGTTCCGCTTGTTTCATTTTTTCGAACAATCATCGCACAGCCAGCCTCTCCTCTATGAAAGCATCTCCACGCTTACCTAACCTCTTTTTTCGTAGAAAATTATCTCGTTTATGTATTTTTCGCAAGATTTATCACTCTAACCCCGAACTTCGTGAAACATTGTTTATAGAACCATCTTAGATATCATCACGAACAAATCAGCAGTTAAAGGTCATCCCCCATTGTAACGCCTCCTCATTTAATGCCTATTTTCTTCCCGAAACATCAATAGATTGGAATCGCCTTCCAGCGCCCTTAGTCTCAATAACTGATGCTGCTAATTTTAAAGTTGCGATTAACAATTTTCTTGTTGTTCCTTAGCCATTGTTCCTATTTTCGCCTTGTTCGTTTATGTAGTCATATATTATTGTGTTAAAGCTCACTCCTCTGGAATGCCTTCGGGCCCTGAGAGATAATAGAAGAAAGGAAATGAAATGAAATGTTGCTGACTACTCTGGCAGGCGCTGTCAAATAGAACGTGAGAAAACCCGAATTATCTGGAAATTAAAATACACTGCCTATGCGCATAGAGTAATTTGCGGCGCGAACGTTCCCAATATGGATTCCGGCGAAATCTCGTGACAGGCGTGCGTCACGCGAAATCGCCCTGTGAAGAAAGGTTAAAAGAAAAACAGAGATACATGAAAAGAAAGAGAGATAATATAGCCATTGCAGAACAACTGCTAAGTGATTGCGCAGGCCAGCATGATGCTCAATCAGGTCAAATATAGTGGGAGCTGGGATTGTGACCAGGAATGGCACCTTGGTTCTACAATGAATTTTGAACTCACTTTCGCAGTCCCTATCTGACTACAATACAATCTGAAACATCGACGTTTCTTATCGACACTGCATTTACTAGAAGAGCGACATGAAAAGCCGACATTGAAGTAGCATCATCAGCGTGACATCGTCAGCGTGACGTGACAAAGTCACGTCACGCTGACGTGACTTTGTCCGAAGGCAGAAAGGACAATGCGTTGAAGGAAGAGAAATTCCGAATTAAGCGTAAAGAAAAAGAAAACGTAAATCAAGTGTAAAGAATTAAAAAATCTAAGTGTAAAGAAAAAGGAAACCGGAATCAAGGATTAGCAGAAAAGGAAAAAGAGGAATCATTAAATGTTGCTAGTCCAGCGGTGCGTATGTTATATTTTTTCTCTGTGTGTTTTCCATGTTCAGCTGGCCCCATTCACAAACAGACAAAGTCACGTTCTGAAGCACAGATCTTCGAGTCTGGATATAAATTACACGATTACGACCAAAGTTAACAACTCTATAGTATAACGTATTCTGCGGAAAAAAGACTGTCAGGAATGACCAAAGGAAAAAGTAGTCAGCCGCGTGTGAAAGAACAAATATGACTTAATTAGGACGCTTAGAGCAAGCAGATCGCGTGATTGCCCTAGAAAAACAAGGTCAAAGATTTGTTTAGTGCATCTCTGACGGGTTGTTTCTTCCAGGTTCCCGGATCCGCTGACGCCTTCGTGGAGGCACTCTTTGAGCGTGTTACCCGACGCGGTGGCCATCGCCTTGGTACAGTTCGTATCGGCAGTGTCCATGGCAGAACTGCTGGGACGCAAACAGCGCCTGAAGGTAGACGCAAGGCAGGTAAGCGACTCTCAGGATTCTGGCCCAAATCCTGCCCAGCTTTTCAGGGCCCAGGCGAAACATGCCGAGTCACTGCGACAAAGGCGCGGTGACTGCCAAATAGGGCTACTGCGCTTGCTCAGAACGCGCTCCACAGCCCGGTTGACAAAGAATGCAGCGCACAAAAGGCGATTATTGGGATGGTCTTTCTGACGTCACGCACTGCGGTACCGCTGTGCTGTCGGCATCGACCATGTGCAGGTGCCTCATTCTACCCGAGGATGGTTTCTGATCAGTGGCCGCACCTTGTGCAGGAAGACGTACGCTCGTTTGTAAACAGCGCGTTGGTTTCAGGAGATGCTGGCGTACGGCGTGAGCAGCGTGGTAGGCTCCTTCTTCCAGTGCATCCCGACGGGCTCTGCCGTCGCTCGGTCCATCATCCTCAAGGACGTCGGAGGACAGACACAGGTGCGTGACGGCGGCGATTGACCAAAGGCGACGGCGTTCGTACGGTGATTCTCTTGGATATGTCCTCTAACCTTGGGCCGTTGTTATTTTTAGTGTTCATCAACAACTTGCCGTCGCAGGTGCTGCACTCCAAAGCATTATTGTACGCAGATGACTTGAAGCTGTTCAGGAGGGTAGAGAATGTACAGGATTGTCTGTTGTTACAAAACGACGTATGTTCAATTGAGCAGAGGTGCATAACAAATAGACTACAACTTAATCTCAAGAAGACTTCAGTCGTGTCAATCAGCAGGAAACACGAGAGCATAGTGTTCAGCTACAACCTTTCCGGAGGGCACATAAAGCGTGTATCTCTGTTTTTATTCAATTTATTCAAGTTCCCTTAAAGGCCCTCGTTGAGGGCATTACATAAGGGGGGGTACGTAACACGAGAGTATAAAACAGTAACAACGACATATGCGAATACATGGGGTGCTGCAAAACAACGTGGCATCGCCACGAGCAACGGCAATACACAAATTAGTCTGGGTACATGGGGATGTAAGGGGATGAAAACATTGATACAGCCAGTAAAGCACGAGACAAACAAATAAAAAAGGCACAGTGGGGCTAACAGAAATGTGCACAAAGAGCGTTGCGAAATGCGGTGGGATCCGTCTGGGTCACAATAAGTGAGGAGAGGTCGTTCCAGTCTACAATAGTACGAGGGAAGAAGGAGGAGTTAAAATAGGATGTGCTGCCTGAGATGCGGGAAACGTGACACGGGTGATTTAGCCGCGATGAAGATCGCCTGTGGGGTAGGAGCTCGAGGAGCGGGTCTCGGAGCGCAGGGAAGTAGTAGTAAATTTTGTGAAAGAGACAGAGTCGCGCTATCTTACGGCGGACGTTTAGTAAAGGAAAGTTCAGTTCGCTCTTTAGGGCGGATACACTAACCGACCAATCGTATTTCTTCAAAATAAACCTGGCAGCGCGGTTCTGGACTGCCTCGATATGATTTAATAAGTATATTTGGTGAGGGCTCCAAATGGCCGCAGCATATTCCAATTTGGGTCGAATGTATGTCTCATAAGCCAATTTTCGCACGAATGGGGGAGCCGATTTCAGGTTTCGTCTTATGTAACCGAGGCAGCGAGACGCAACTTGCATTTAGATTTGTTTAGCGTCATTAACCACCTGGTGCACCATGCCTGGATTTCGTCCAGGTCTCTTTGAAGTAAAAGGTGGTCTTCAAAAGAAGCTATTCTTCGGTATAGGACGCAGTCGTCAGCGAAAAGGCGGATGTTAGAGGCAATTTTGCCTGGAATGTCATTAATAAAGACCAGAAAAGGTAGGGGACCAAGAACCGAGCCCTGGGAAACTCCCGAAGTAACTTCAGCGCGGGTGGATGTACGGCATCTTGGTGTTCAAGTGGACTCCAGGCTGTTTTTTCATCAACATGTGTCACAGATAGTTAATCAAGGCCTGCGATGTCTTGGTGCGGTGTCACGGATAACTAGAAAATTTAGAAGCCCTCATTGTGTTCTCTCTTTATATTGTTCACTTGTCCGGCCGCGTTTAGAGTTCGCATCCGTAATATGGAACTCTGTTTCTCTCGGCTACAGCAATGTAATCGAAGAGGTACAGCGGAAATTTATTCGTATTGTATACGATAGGCACATTGGTCGTCGACGTTTTTACAGCTATAGCTCGGTATTAGCAGACATAGGCCTCCAGTCTCTTCACGACAGGAGGCTTGCACATGATATGAACTTTTTGAGAAAAGTTGTGCATGGCACTCTTGAATGCGACGAGTTGTTGTCATCATTGTGCTTCCGTGTCCCATCTGGGAAGGCGTGTAAATGTATTCACACATTTTATACAGATATTCATTCGAAGTGTCCAATGACTCGGTTACAAGATACATACAATTCAATGTTTTTACAAGATGACATATTTACTTCACTTTATCTTAGTGTGCCTGTGGCAACCACTTTTATTTTTAACTAACTAGGATTTGATGACGCGTCAGACTGATTTCTATTGTGCTCCTCGGCAACCACACTGTCCTATGTAATACCCTTTTTATTGTTAACGCCACTGTGCGAAACATGACAAAGTGTACCGTCCTGTAGGCCTCACGGCTGTTGACCGGCACTAAATAAACTATCTATCTATCTATCTATCTATCTTATCAAATATACTCGAAACTTCAAGTGCTTCGTTGAGGAGACTCCCAAGTTTATGGAATCGTGCTCGCGCTTATGCGGGTCGATAGGCCGCCGTACATGCACACACGGTATAGGCTTGCGCGAATGGTCGAACCAACGAACAAATGCACAATGACGCGCACAGGAAACGCGTCATGTTGACAGATTATCAGTTCTCCGTGCATCGTACTGGCGCGTCGCACTGCGGTCACTCCCGATTCGCCCTCAGATAGGATGACAACACCACCACAGCTTGTAGATGTTTCCCCAATGACGGCCGGATAGTTTTTTTGCTGTTGTACTTATTGGCTCGCTTATATAGCCAATCAGGGGTTTCTTTGAAGAAAAATGGTGAACGGGCCGTGCGGTTATAGCCAGTCACGGGTTGCCATGAAAACAAAAAGACAATGGAGTATGTTCATTTCGGTGCAATTTGTCCAGTGAGTTTGGTCAAGACCATGTACACCGATGAAAACCTCTTCATTCCCAGCTTTTTCTTCTTGGAACGTCATCAGGCTACGACGGTGGCAACTCAGCTGTTGGTCCCGAGTTCGATGCGGACGCATTGATTGGACACGAGCCCTAGCCGTACCCTGACGCAGTACTCGGCGTGTCCAGTCTCTGCTCACGCTGGGTCGTAGTGTGACGGCATCAGATTTCAAATGCCTTCCATTTAGCTGATGTTGTCTATTGCGACTGCCGCAGTTTTGGTGGAGTGTTGTGAGAGTACTGAATTACGTATCCTGAAGAAATGTGCGATCGGAAGTCAACACAAACATAGCAGTGTTCCACTCAAATATGTTACGTAATTTTTTGGTAAACTCATATTTTCACTATGACCAGTGGCAATGGTACCTACGGACGTTCTACTTCCTGGTCCACACCTAGAAAAAAAAAGTCTTTCTGTCACTTTCTCTCTACGCGTCTTTGGCAGGGAGGTTTCAGAACCTCCCTGCCAAAGATTATCTTCAGCCTTGAAAGCGTTGCATTCCTTCGTGCAACAGGGTTTCGCGTTTACTGCAGGGGTTGGAAACCATATATCTGGTTCTGGGAAGTCAGAATAAAACAGCAATACCCTATTACTATAGAAGAGGGATAATAAATCGCACTGCATTTTTTTTATTGAGATGTAACAGCACTGTAGCGACGAAAGTGTGCAACGTATACCATTAGAGCGAGTTTGTCTATTTATAGGTTTCAGGGCTGGTATCCAGCGCCGTCGTGGCCGTCACACTCTACGCCTTCGCTCCACTTTTCGAGCCTCTACCAAAGGTATGCCTCGACCTATCACATGTCGCTACTTTTTGAGATATGATTGAGAAGCAACATAAGTGATAACGTAAATGTCTGCAATGTTGCAAGCTCCTCAGTTTGCCAATGCCCCGCACCACCATATATATATTTAATGATATGACGATTAGAAAACTTTGCATTGCCCCTTTGTCATTCCGTGACTGTTCAATAAGTGCACACGAAACAACAGAACCAACATTTTCTTGTCGGTCTCTCACCTTTTTCTGTTATTATTGTAAGGTAATATATTTGATTGAGTGAGCGTGATAGAGTGCGCGTGTGCAGGGCACGTGGTAAAGCCGCAAACCTGCAGAGTAAGAGAACGCCTTCATAGACGCTTTGCAGCAACTGCGCATGGGCGCCGCCATAACCGACCTTCAGTTTTTGTTTCCTTTTATTCCGTTTACTTCCCTTTGTCATTAACATGGCAGGCCAGGTCATTGTCATTTTAGATTCTACTGTGTCCTTTTCTCCAGCGTTGGCCTCTCTGGAGTCTCTTAAACTCCCATCTCTGGTGGCTCGGTCCCGGTAAAACAAGAGAAGGTCAGCAATGGCGGATGTAGTCTGGCGCGTGCGTAAAGCGTCTATAGCGTGGAGCCCACGTTCGTACTCACAGTAGGGAGTTTTCGTAGATCCGTTCTCGCCGTCGCGCCGCGCTCTCCGCAACCCGCTACAATACCCGGAACTCTACAGACAAAACCCTTGGCGCGCAGGCGCAGTAGCGGCTTCTTCGTTGTGGAGGGTTTAGCGGAGGGGGAAACGCGGCCTATACGTAAACTCCCTAACGTCAAAGTTCGCATACAGCGAAGAGATAGAACTATTGGCGAAGTGAACGATCGAAAGCGTCTCGGTGGTTAGCCTACCACGACTGGCCAAATGATGACAATGACGTCAGCAAAGGATTTCTCTTCGGCGGAAATAAGACTAATGCAAGAACTTCAATCGTGACTGTGTTGGCAGTGTTGGTTTCAGAGCGCAATAATTTCAAGCTTCCACCATGCTACTTGACAAACACCTTTGAACTTGTTGTTCACAACGTAATGACGTCGCGAGAAGGGACCAGGGCGCCTCCAAAACATCTCGCCGCCAATAGGGGACACCATGTCCAGCTTGTTTTCCCCAAATATATGTGTTTACCAACACAAGGCGCGTGCACTAGATTTCTTTACTTCATCTTTCTCGATTGTGAGCGCGGCGCAAAGATTTGCCGCGACTCGCTCCCAATAGATCCTGGGTTCAATCCCCACCCCTGCCCGTTTCGATCTGGATGAGCATCGTACCGGCGTGCGGTCGTGTATCACTACTGCGTGGTGCACGTTAAAGACCCCAGGCTAGCGGTTGTACCGCACTGGCTAAATTGCTTATCTACAGTGGGTAACAATGTCGCCGTGTTCTGGCAGACTAAACTCCTGCTGTATAAACAACTAACGACTAATTTGTTTTTTGTTTTTCCCAATAGACCTGTTGCAATACACGTACAGCGCCACGACGGCGGGGAATTTTGGGAACCCTCGGTACAAATCACGTGCTTTCTCGTTGCGTCTCTGCGACTGCGCCTGAGTCGCGACAGCTACTGCCAACAGCCACGGTAATGATTATGAACCTAAACCAGAACTATACCAAAACGTCCTCGGATGGTTTGCGTGGACGTTTTGGCGAGTGTCAAGTCATGGCCTTCTCTATACTGACAAACCCTGGTAGTTCGAAGACGGATCCATAGAGCGCCCGGTCGCAGATTTAGAGCGCGAGGATCTAGTATAGCACAGCATTTCTCGGGGAGCCTGTAGTCAGCGCGCAGCTTTTGCAGCAGCGAGGACCCGAAACATGGTTTTCAAACCCGACGAGAAAGGAAGCGGTACTGCGAAGAACGCGAGGATCACGAGCGGACAAGTGTGTTTCGGCGTCTCGCCGCAGCGGGGCGCCCGTTACATGCATCTCCTCCCATTCGTTGACTTCCGCTCTACACCTTTTCACTTTCGGCGGCCGCGTCTCGTGGCAATCTGCCAGGCTTTGTCAGTGTGGAGGAGGCTTTGTCCAAGTGCTTGGAATTGGGATTATTCATAGGTTCGAGGCTAGTCGGCTAAGCAATGAAAACGAACAAAAAGAAGACGGATGCGCGAGTAAGCCTTAAACATGAATTAATAGACGTTGCCACGCCCATAAATGATACAAAAAGGCCACAATAATAAACCGCTAAGATCGTAAACAGCCACACTTGGCGCGGGCGTCGCTGGCAGGAGTGCTGGGGAATCGGGTGGCATCGCTACCTGGTAAGTTCCAAACGAAGCGCCTCACTCAAAAGCCGCCGATTTTTCTACTATACCCGTATTCTAGTTCACTGTAGTACCGATGACTCCTGTAATTCGTCGCGCGGCAAGCGGGGGCTTTGGGATTTGGGCAAAGGTCTTATTTTTTCCCCTGTGCTCAGTCGAGAAGGATGAAGTAAAAAATCTGTGAGTGCTGCGTCCGCGTGGCCCTGCTTATGGGTACCGCGGGTCTAATGCTGTGTCAAAACAAAAACAAATCGACTATGTTGTAGTCCCCATCAGTGTAGTTCTCAACTTAACCACTAGGGGCGCGATGGTTAGATCTCGTTCCCCATAAAGTCGTTGTTGTTGAAGACGTTTATTGATAGGTGAAAATTTCACCAGTCAATTTGTTGGAGCAAGTTTAAAAATGGATGGATAGGCGGGACATTGGCAATTTACAAGTAATAGTATAGCTGTGGTCCCGCCACTTGGAGTATAGACCCCCTAGATATGAATGTCCAAGCCGGTCTCACTCAGAAATCCGAGCAGACTGGACAGGACCGCGACACGCATGTCTTTTTCTCCCACTGGTTTACACCAGGCTTCGAAGCACGTAGGGCGGTGTTGTTGTTCTAGCGTGTTCAGGGCTTTCGTCCTTTCTTCATTAAAAATCGGACAGTGCCAGATCAGATGACATTCGTCACACTTGACGTCTCGATTTCTGCAGTAGATGCAGCCTTCGGAGCAGGCTTCTTCTTCTTTCCTTTGCTTCTTTGACAATAGACTATAATCGTGATCTACTGCCGTTGAAGCGTTGGCGAGTTTCGTCTTCCTCTCACGGGCCGCTCGCTCCCATCGCTGGGTGCGGGCTAGCGTGATGCCGGCTTGGGCCCTTAGCCTTCGGAGGGTGACTGTCTCGTGCCGTCGGAAAGTTCCCGAAGGAATGGTCGCTTCGGGGGGCTCGCCTCTGGCGTTCAGTTTGGTCTGCTCAATTTTCTTGTATGCTAATTTGATATTGAGGATGGTTCCCTCGGGGTCGTACAAGTTGAAGGCGGGTGGTGGCGGTTCCACAGAGGGGGCTGGCCCCGGGTCCTGGCGTCGAAGGTCGATACGATTAAGCTCTTCGATCGCCGCCCGGTGCGCCCTCTCGTTGCCGGCGATGCCCGCGTGACCGGGTATCCACTCCACCCTGATGGTGAGCGGGTTTAGGTCGCGCCGTTCCAGGTTCTGCGCCAACCGGAATATTTGTCCGACTGCTCCGTGTGACATGACTTGCGTCCTGAGCGCTCTCACGGTGGCCTGGGAGTCCGTGAAGATGCGCAGTGTGCGGAATTTGTCGCTCGATGTCGCAGCCGCGTCTTTGATGGTTTCAAGTACGGCTCTGACTTCCGCTTCCTGCGCAGATCCGCATCGCTGCAGCTCCGTGCTTTTCGTTGTCTTCTCATAATGCCACGCCGCCGTGGCCGCCACTCCGTCTTTGAATGCTGCGTCAGCGTACGCATAAAGCTCGTCGTCACCTCCGTTCTTCTGCTCGTGCCGTCGAGCAAATTTGCGCCTTCTGCCGGTGTTTGTCGCCGAGTTCATCCTTCTCGGGATCGGCCTGGCTGGGGTGACCGTTGTCTTCTGCCACGGTGGGATGGGATCCGGTATCGGTGGTGGAGTTGTCGTTGCACACAGAGAGCTCCATGAGGGCATGAGTTCTGCTATGGCCCTGCCTTGACGGGTATGTGTTAGTTTGGCAGCATACATCCACTCCTGATGCCGTTGGATCTCTTCCAAGGAGAGCATAGGTACGGCTTCGTGTAGTAATTCCAGGCGCGTACACTTCGGCAGGCCCGAGATGCAGCGTCGCGCGTCATTCATTAGTGTTTCCAGTTTGGCCCGTTGATTGGTGTTGAGTTTGTAGAAACGAAGGCCGTAGGATATTTTGGATACCAGGGCGGCTTGTACTACGGTCCTCGCTAACCTTTCTCCGAGACCCCCGACTCTTGTCGCTAGTCGTCGTACGATCGAGAGCCCTTTCTTCCAGGTAGTTCGCATTCGCTCAATCCAGATGGTTGGGTCGCCGCCCGAGTGAATGTTCACTCCTAGGATGGAGTGCTCTGTCGCCTTTTGAATCTGCTGCCCGTTAAAACGCAGGTCAGCGTCGACCTTGTCCCAGTCTTTCCCAAAGGCCATATATCTGGTCTTCTCGGGCGATGGACGAAGGCCGCTCTCTGTCAAGAAATCGCTCACCACGTCGAGGGCCCGTTGGATCGTCGTCTCAGGAAGAGGCGCGCTGTCACTTCCCATCGTCCACACAGTGATGTCGTCCGCATAGACCGTGAATGCTAGGTCCGGAACGGCAGCGAGTCTCCATAAGAGAGGCGCCATCGCCAGGTTGAATAGCATCGGCGACAACACTGATCCTTGCGGCACGCCGATCTCGTTGGATTTCTCTGTACTACTCCTGTGCTTGCCAGTTTTCACCAGGTATTTGCGTCCGCTTAGAAAAGACTTGATGAAGTTCAGTGGCCTGCCTCGCACCCCTAGCTTGCGAGTCGTGTCGATGACTGTGGTGTGAGGCAGGGTGTCGAAGGCTTTCTTGATGTCCACTGCCACCAGGAGTTGGCGGTGGCATTGCGTCGGCCGGTTCATTAAGTACTCTCGAATCAGTACTAGACTGTCCTGTGTTCCTAGATTTTTGCGGAATCCTGTCTGAGCAGGGTGTAACAGCTCCCTCTTCTGCTCGATTATCCAGTCGATCCGTGCAAGCACCATGCGCTCCATCAGTTTGCACAGGACAGAAGTGAGCGAGATAGGGCGCATGTTGCTCGCGCAGTCGGGCTTCTTCCCTGGTTTCGGGATGGGGCACACCCAGGACAGTTTCCAGCTATCTGGGATGGTGCCCTCGCGCCAGTGGTCATTGATTAATTTCAACAGGTCTCTCTTGATCGCCTCCGGGAGGTTCTTGAGCATGGAATTAGTGATCCCATCTGGCCCCGCCGCGCTTCGCTCGTTGCCCTTTTCGATCGCTGCCTCCATTTCCCACTGTGTAAAATCCGCTTCATACTCCTCGTTTTTCGATTCTTCATGGTTGTAGATTACCGGGTTTGGGCTGGTAGCGGGCTGTGGGAAAAAGACGTCCCCTATCTCATCTAATATTTGCTTGACTTCCTTATTTTCCGCTAAAGCCAGGTTTGGTGCCGTGTTTCCCCCCTTGCTCTTGCCCAGCATCACATTGCATACGGCCCACATACGTCTCAGTGAAGTTCGTTCGTTGAATCCTTCGCACAACTTGGTCCAGTCGTCCCTGCACAGGTTGTTGGCGTGTCGTTGCGCCTCCTTTGCGTACCTGTTTGCTTTTCGGATGTCCCGTTTTTTCCGAGTGCGACGGTAGCGTCGCAAGTAGTTTGTTCTTTTGCGCCAGAGGGACAGTAGCCTGGTGTCCGGGATCGGCGCTCCTATTTCGACTAGGGTCTCGACCGTGGCAGTCTTGGCCGCTTCCCTCATTCGTTTTGTCAGGTCGTCAAAGGTTGTACCCGTAGACTCTTCTAGAGCGGCACGGAAGTCGTCCCATACTGTGGTCTTGACCGTTCTCTTTTTCTTGCGTCGCTTTGTTTTGCCAAGTATCGACGTCTCTATGGGGTGGTGGTCGCTGCCCCACGTATCTTCGAAAACTTTCCATTCGGTCTTTTTCGCAGTACGCGAGTCGGTCCAAGTCAGGTCGGGCGTTGTGTCTTGCTGTTTGATATTGGGCGTGGTCCGTGTCTTAGCACCCTGTTCGTTGATTAGGACCAGTCCTGTTCCGGTGGCTCTGCGGAGCAGCTCAGTACCCCTGATCGACGATTTGGCGTAGCCCCATTCTTCATGTTCGGCATTAAAGTCCCCTCCGATCAGGATCGTGTGCTTCCTTTTCTTACCGTACTCTCGTACTAGCTTCTCTATCCAGCCATGGTCGATTTCTGATCTCGTTTTCCTTGCCGTTGATGTCCTAGGTCGGTAGTACACTGACACTACCAGGATCGGGCCGTCGCATTCGCTCTCCACCAGAACGGCCACCACTTCTTGTGAGTCGGTACACCACTCTCCTGTGTCCACTTGCTGTTGGGGCAAGAGGTCCTTGCGAACCAAGATTGCGGATTGCGGTTGCACTTTCGTTTTGCCTTTAACGGTCAGCGTGATGCTCGGTTTGTCGTACTTGACATACCCGGTCAGCTTTATCTCTGCCTCGTGCGTTTCCTGGAGCAGGATGACATCCACGGGCGTCTTCCGCTCATTGAGTCGTAATTTAAGTTCAGACTTCTTGCCCCGCAGTCCCCGGCAGTTCCACTGGAGAGCTGTAAACGTCTTCTCGTTTTTATTTCGTCTATGGTGTTGGTCCATGTCTGGGTTACTGGGCCGGTACTGCCGGTCCTTGTCCAGGCTGGGTGAACATCAGCTGCAGTTGTTGCTGCATCTGCTGCATCATGACCTGTTGCTGTTGCTGTAGCTGTTGCTGGAGCTGTTGTTGCCATTTTTGAAGTCTACTCTCCACGAGTTGTAGGAGATGTTCGCCGCTAAGGGGCGAGCCTGGAAGGCACCCCGATATCGGTGTGCTGTCCTGTGATAAAGGTGCATTTGGCGGGAAGAGCTCTTTTCGATCCTGTTGTGTTGGGGCACTTGCGCGCGCGCCGTGTGCTGATGTGGCCTTAGCAGTTGCTGCTTCGGCTTCCTTCCTTTTCCGTTCAATGACTTGTTCGTAGGTGACGGCGCAGCGCTGGGCACGTCGACGTGCTTCATCAGCTTTCTGCTGTTCTACTCGAATTTGGTGTTCCGCTTCTTGCCTACGTTTCCGGTCGGATTCGGCCTTCGTCTTGGCTTGGGCTTTGCGGGCCTCTTCTTGTTCTTGTCGGTGCTGTTTCTCGTACTTTACTTCCAGTTGTTGAATTTTCTCAAGTAGTTTGCGGCTACTTTCCTTAAGTTGAGCAAGTTCCACGGCCATTCTGCTGCTAATGTTGGTGGGCGGCCCGATATGGGACACGTCCGTGTTCATAGCTTTCGGAGTTAGGACTTGGCTGTACGACGTTTCTGTATCGCGCTTTGGTTGGTGGTGCAGCCTCTGGATTGGGAGGGAGGGGAAGTCGTCCGGTTTGAATGTCGCCCGGGCAGAGGTCCTGCCCTTCGCAGCGGTAACCACTCCGCTGTTATAGTTACGTCGACCGGCCGCCGCCCGTTTCTGGAGTTTGTCGTCCGCCCGGTTCCGGGCCCGACACGCTTCTGCTTCGAATACCGTGTGACCTGTCTTTCTGCAGTTCGGGCAGTACTTGCCCTGGCATGGCTGGTTGGTCGGGTGGATCTCGCCGCACGACTTGCACCGTTGCTTGCCTGTGCATACCGTGGTCATGTGACCTAGTTCGTGGCACTGTAGGCAGATGACCGCAGTTGGTTTGTAGGGAAACACAGTATGGTATTTTCCAAATAGTCGGATGCACCTCGGGATACCCCTTCCTTCAAATGTGATTAAATACGTCCCATTCTTGCCGAGGGGTCGAGAATGAATAATGTCATGGTAGTCCGCTATGGCATTGTCAACAATGCCTCGTGCTGCGTCGCCAGGTGAAACGCCGTGTATAATTCCTCGTGGCTGACTGCCGGTTGTTGACCTGTATACTGTGACCTGGATCGTCTTGTTAGGGTCCTCCGTGGGCAGCTCTTTGAGTGCCATAAGGTCTTCTGCGTGGTGTTCCGTCTGCACGGTAATTGCGATGAAGTTATTTCTGTTATTGACGGTGTAACCTAACTGGTCGGATTCGCATGGCGACTTTAAGAGCTTTTGGAAGGTGCTCCACAGAAGCCATGAGTCCACGTTGGTGATTTTCATGGCCGTGGTGGGCTTGACGATGACCGTGTACCTCGGTCCGTCTTGTTGCTGCTGGGGTCGATTTGGCCTGTTTTTGCGCTGAGCTTTCTTTTTGTGGTAGTTCGGAACTTCCCATTCACCATTGTTGCAGTCGTCGTCGTCGTTGCAACCCTTGTCGTCCATTATTTCTCCTTTTGCGTCGAGAAACATGTCTGCCTGCGTCAAGTCTTCCCCTTTACGCTTTTTTGCTACTGAAGATTCGCGTAATCTTCGGGCTTCACAGTCGCTGGTTAGGCTCAGCGGTGTTATGGCGTCTGTCTCCATGTTCGAGGCACCCGCTTGGTTGACCGATGAACCGCATTCGACTGCAGTTGCGATTGTTCCATCGCCTCGGTGCAAAATCACGATGTCGCCGGGATTCGGCTGCGTGAATAGTGTTTCACATTCGGCTGTTGGGCCCAGTACCGGTGGCCGCAGCAGCGGTCTTCCTTCATCGCTGGAAGCCGTATTTGCCGAAGGTCGCTTACCCGGTTTTCGGCAAAGTGCGGTTAGCGAGGTCCTTGAAACTTCCGATGTTCCGTGTGAACTTCGGCACTAGAAGTGGCGCCGAAGTAGGACCGAAAAAAATCGCTTTAGTGGAGCTGGATGAGACACTTCTGATCCTATGCTAACACTTCCCCATAAAGTCTTCGACTTGCTCCTTTTCTTCCGCAGTGCATCTTGGGCGTTGTGATCATCGTGGCCCTTGTGCCCATGTTACTCAAAGTGAAGAACCTGCCCAAGCTGTGGAAGACGAGCCGTTCGGACGCGGTAAGCTATCTGTGGCGGGAGGAGAACAAAAAGTATAGTCGCCATGTCAAAGCACGCACTCACTGCTAAGCTAAGATTGCATGTTTCCGTCTTTAATTTAGAGGTACAGCTTGCTGCTTGGTCGGGTATAGATGCCCCACTAAATGATTTTGTTTTGTCATTTAATATATTTTGTGCTTTCATTGTACGCTCGAGGATATGCTATATCAAGGGGGTCTGGGCTAGTATTCTCTCAAGGAAGCTGGTATGCGAATGCGCGATATTTTCACGGTATATACTGGTGTATACCGATACACGGCTTGTGTATCTCACCTCATCTGTGGTTCTAGCAACACAATTGAATTTGAGACATTTAGGTATATAGGAGGGATGTGTTGTTCTGTAATTGCTTGGTGGACGTAATACCTTTTCCTGGGATTGCCACTGCAAAGGTAGCAAAAGTTTACTTCGGAGCGTCGCGAAAGCCGCTTCTGTGTAGACGGCTAGCTTGTCAGCCGAGCTTTCCCAGGCCTGGATCCGTTTGTTCTGGCTACGGGCATGCGAAGTCTGACGATCTGGATGTCTGAAACTCGCGTTCTTCGGGATGGGCTTGCCTTCCACGAAGTCGATGCAGGGGGGTCGTTCTCTGGTAAGTCGGAAAGCGGGAGTTTAAGTGCTTGAATTAAACTGAGAAGGATTCTGCCGGGTCGTGAGCGTCGTAGTCGTTCACGGCGGGCGACAGATCGCAGCATTACAGTTTTTTGAAAAGTGTTGAGCTGGCCATGTTCTATGAGTGTCGCTATTGGTGTGAATCGGGGTAAGCCGGCAATGACCCGCGCATTGTCGTTACAAAACCACAAAGTGGATAAACGCCTGTAAAGTAAACGACGAAGTGTAGAAGCGTTATGAAAGCGACGATGTGTAGTAATGTAGAGAGTTGAGCTAGCTGGTATTTAGAACACATACCTAAAACAGCGCACACACACAAGAGGAAGAGAATAGATACAGCGCTCTTTCCTGTGTCTATTCTCTTCCTCTTGTGTGTGTGCGCTGTTTTAGGTATGCGACGATGTGTAGAAACTTCGGCAGACAAATATGAGTGCGAGTCACCACAACATCCGAGCTTCATGGCGCATGGCAACCAATTCAAAGGGTAGCTTTGCACGCCGCATACGAAGCGTATGTACCGCGTTGACCAACGTTCGAACGGTGTCTACAGACTATCGTTTGTATGATGCACAAGCAATGAGACCCCGACTTTATAATCACAAGCCTGTGTATGATGCACAAGTAATGAGACCCCGACTTTATAATCACAAGCCTGTGTATGATGCACAAGAAATGAGACTCCCACTTTATAATCACAAGCCTGTGTATGATGCACAAGTAATGAAACCCCGACTTTATAATCACAAGCCTGTGTATGATGCACAAGTAATGAGACCCCGACTTTATAATCACAAGCCTGTGTATGAGGCACAAGTAATGAGACCCCGACTTTATAATCACAAGCCTGTGTATGATGCACAAGTAATGAGACCCCGACTTTATAATCACAAGCCTGTGCATGATGCACAAGTAATGAGACCCCGACTTTATAATCACAAGCCTGTGTATGATGCACAAGTAATGAGACCCCGACTTTATAATCACAAGCCTGTGTATGATGCACAAGCAATGAGACCCCGACTTTATTATCACAAGCCTGTGTATGATGCACAAGTAATGAGACCCCGACAAGCCTGTGTATGATGCACAAGTAATGAGACCCCGACTTTATAATCCCAAGCCTGTGTATGATGCACAAGTAATGAGACTCCGACTTTATAATCACAAGCCTGTGTATGATGCACAAGTAATGAGACCCCGACTTTATAATCACAAGCCTGTGTATGATGCACAAGTAATAAGACCCCGACTTTATAATCACAAGCCTGTGTATGATGCACAAGTAATGAGACCCCGACTTTATAATCACAAGCCTGTGTATGATGCACAAGTAATGAGACCCCGACTTTATAATCACAAGCCTGTGTATGATGCACAAGTAATGAGACCCCGACTTTATAATCAGAAGCCTGTGCATGATGCACAAGTAATGAGACCCCGACTTTATAATCACAAGCCTGTGTATGATGCACAAGCAATGAGACCCCGACTTTATAATCACAAGCCTGTGTATGATGCACAAGTAATGAGACCCCGACTTTATAATCACAAGCCTGTGTATGATGCACAAGTAATGAGACCCCAACTTTATAATCACAAGCCTGTGTATGATGCACAAGCAATGAGACCCCGACTTTATAATCACAAGCCTGTGTATGATGCACAAGTAATGAGACCCCGACTTTATAATCACAAGCCTGTGTATGATGCACAAGTAATGAGACCCCGACTTTATAATCACAAGCCTGTGTATGATGCACAAGTAATGAGACCCCGACATTATAATCACAAGCCTGGCGCGTTCAAGTAAAAAATGCAGTGTCAACAGGAAACAGATGATAGATCACGGAGTATTTAATCGGTTCCCTGTAGATAAGACACAGCATATCCCAAAGACGTACTAGCTCTAAAAAACTACGCTATACATCTTCCATTGCGCTGCATGGAACTTTCGAGATGGAATATAGATTTTTATACACTCCCTTTGTACCCAGCGATCAGATAAAACCAGCGCAAACGACAAGAGAAGAGAAAGGTAGGACAGGACAGAAGCGCTCTGTCCTGTCCTACCTTTCTCTTCTCTTGTCGTTTGTGCTAATTTTATCTGATCATGTGTAACCAACTAGCCCAACAGATGATATTGACGCAGTCTCCGGCGACTCGGCCCTTAATTGCATCATTGAATGAATAATTATTAGATCCAAGAGAAGGCATTTGAGACGGCAAAGGAATAATGTCGAACTACGAAGGAAGAATGCGGATGAGCCGTTGAAGGCATCCCTAACATTTTGGAGACGCAGCGGACCTAGACCCTTACTATCACCATACTATCTTTCATTAAACTAAAGCCTCGGTCACACCGCTAATGCATTACACGAAATACAGTCGGCGGGCACTGTCCGCCGGCTGTATTTGTATAATGCTCTTCCTTTTCTCACATTGGTCATACAAAAACTGTACGTGATCGAAGCATGCATAAACTGCTTTAAACATGCTTGCGGCGTCTCCGGAGATAATTCGGTCTGCGTTTTTGCAGCGATGTCTTTTGTGTGAGCAGTGTGACCCCGGCTTCAGGGTTAAAAGCATGCTCGCGCCTGGGAAGAGTTGAAGCACCGCATGTAAGCCCCGATATTGTTCCCTGGCCGTTGCAGGCGTTGTGGCTTCTGAGTTGCGTCAGCGTCATCTTCCTCGATGTCACCTACGGCCTGATTGTGGGAAGCCTGCTCGGACTACTCATCATCTTCCTTAAGCTGAACAGGTGCGATTCAGGAAACGTTGTTTATGGTCAAGTCCGCGATTGCCCACACCAGGTGTTGGAAGTGCTGCACGGGCGCGGAAGTAAAGTGTCTGCGCATGCGTCGACAGCAGCGCCACCGCAGCCAAGTGACGTCAGAGTCAGGCGCAGGTGTACGCAACAAAAAAACAAACGCGTTTACCGAGGGTCTGCCACTACACTGTAAAACCGTAATAGTAATTTATCCCTTACATGCGGAATGCTCAACGGTACTGATCGAAGTAACGTCTGTGTTTAGTGAGTCCAAACACCCGCAATGAAGACTTACCAAGCACATACCTCTTTTTTTTTTTTGTCCGAAACATGTCCGAAATGATTGAAAACGATGCCTGGACATTACCCTCGAAATTCGAAACTTGGGAACTCAGTATTTGTGAAGTAAAAAAACAATTTCCAAAAGCCAAATTTGAAGTTTCCGCGCGAATCGCACCAGTGTAGTGACGTAAAAGATTGAGTCGTCCTGCAACTCGAGTTTATTTTATGCCTCCGTGTCGTCTTCGCCCGCGTCAGGCGATCAACCGCTCCGTGCGGGCCGCCTATCGCAGAGAGCAGACGACGCTTCATTTTCGAGTTTAAATTTGTTTTAGGGCTCTTACAACGATCTCAAATTTTTTTTAACGCTGTGAGGTCAAAGAGAACGCGCAGTGCACTTTTGTGAGCGACGTGAGCGTCGTCCGACCGAAACTGCGGTACACAGACACCAAACCCTGGTGTTTTTACCGTTCGACGATTTCCTTTTCGAAGTCTGAGCAGTCGTCGGACACCAAAAAAGAGAACTTCGTCCGATTCCCCCACTCACCGATCATCCTCAGTGCTACTTGGGTCGAGCGCCGCCATGTTTTCCGAGGGAGGATACAAATCCAGGAGGCGACATCCCGCCGGACTCCGATTTTCGGTATTTCAAAAAGAAGGGCCGTAGTGCGTTCGTAATTGCGTTCGAAAAATATGTTTAACGAATTCCGTTATGAAATATAATAAAAGTTTCACTTCTAAAACTTTTAAATTGCATAATCGATTACGTCACAAATAAAAAGAAGCGAGGAGGTAAGAAGCGAAAGAGAAGAACGCCAAAAATTAAAAAAACAAGCGAGCAAGCGCGCGTGAGAAATTTTTTTTTTTTTGCGTTGTGGTATTTTTTTTTTGACTTTTTATGACTATAACCTGCATTGTTTTTGACAACAAAAACAAATACGACTTTTGGGGTGTCAGTGCCCCTTTAAAGAACGACTATTATGTCCAATTTTACTCGAGCAGCAAATTGGAAATAACGAGGGTAAAATGCCGCATTCTAAAACAATAACTAGATCTCAAAAACGGAACCTCAATGCTCAATGTGTGCTTTTTAATATTTTTATTCTCCTTAATGGTAGTAATTTATCAACTACCAGATACTTAAGGCGACTTTTTGTGATATGATTATGCTGACTTTCTTTCTCTGGTTCGATGCAGTCACAAGGGTGTATACTTACAAGCATACAGTAACGATATATTTCTGCCTTCGGGATCACACATTTCTTGGGTAGGTAACATTTTCCTTTATATTTACCTTAAGCAACAAATATTTAAATGGCGATATATCGATATACCTTATAACACGGGTAAAACCGAAATTCTCAAACAAAATAATTGTGAATGGTTATTTTATTGTTCGGTTTTACACGTCAGCAGTCAAAGAATGCTGTGGATAGTCATTATCGCTCACACAACATTTGACTGCTCGCCTTTTTTCTTGCTACAGCATGACGGTATTGTCATATTCCGATTCGGAAGTCCACTGTGTTTTGCTAATCACAAAAACATCATCTGCGGGTTCGAGGAAATTTTCCGCGAGACTCAGCTTGAAAAGCCCCAGTTCATGTAAGTAAACAAGACAGAGTTTATGACCATACAAAGCTGGGAAAAACTCGTACCATTGCCACTGTAGAGGCCCGTTCACACCGGCGATGTAAAGCAGTCGCGCGATGCGACTGCTCTCAATGATGGTCACACTGGCGTGCGCGATGAGCGAGTCGCTTCTCGAAAGCTCTCGCTCCGAACGCCGCTGAGTGGCTCAGCCGCTCCGCGACTAGATCGCATCGCAAAACGTCGGGTCAGCTAGCGACTGCTCAAATCGCGTCGCCTTTTTTTCTGCGATGGTCGCATTTGGGATGAAAGTTATCGTGCGACTAGATCGCTCCGCCGGTGTGAATGTGCCTTATTAGCAATTGAATAATCTAGAGCATTCGCCACCACTCGTGAGAGCGGAAATAGACACGCTATAATCGGCATGACAAGCATTTTAACATTTAGGTTGGACTTGCTTAATGGCATTTGCAATCTTTTTGAAGGAACCACTTCGAAGATCCCCAATACAAATAATTTAGAGTTAGAAAATCATCCTTATTAGTTTATGAACATAAAGTTGAGACATAGATTTATAAATAGTTGACCTCTCAATTTACTTTATATCAAAATCATACACAGGTTAGACTTGGTGAATGGAGGGATGAAAAGGCTTCTAAATAATATTTTAGATGATAAGGTCGAGCTATAATCACTCACAGGACATGACACGTAAGCATTTGACAGATGACCCGGGAAAAATAAGAATGTTTTAACTTGTACGTATGAATTTCACTTTCAGGGATGAAACCGAAAATCTAAAATCAGCGAAAGCCATTGTTTTAGATTGTTCTGCGATCAGTTTCATAGATTCTGTTGGCCTCGCTGCGCTGAACGTGGTAAGTAACATTTCTCTTAACTACCAGCAACTTTCGAAAACCAGTCAGCTGAATCTAATTGAAAATGGTCAAACATTGGCGCCGCACTTGTATGCTCAGAAAGTACGAATATTTTTTTTTAAATAATGCACACAGACGCACCATTCTGACGTGCACACTTGCTGCTCTTTTTTTAGTTTATTCCAACATTCTGTTGTGTGGAAATCAATTAGTACATTTAATGAGATTATTTTTAATTTGAGGGCCAACTCGTGGCTGTTTATTTTGAAAATAAATCCCCAAATGTCTGAGACTCAAGAACACACACTAGTCTAGTGTACATTCACAAGTTAAAATGTTTAACTTTAGATACTGAACAGGCATCATCCTTTTATCAACCTGATAGTGACACTGACAGGAATATGCATCTATGAGCTGATTTGCTCAACCTGACTTCCTAAGCAAACCTCCTTGCTTTTTCCAGGTGGTTGAAACATGCAATGTGAACAAATGTCAACTGTTTCTTGCATCACTGCCAAGTAAGTTCTTCTTTTCTTAACCGCTATACCGTCGTGCTTTCCAAGGAAAGTGATTGCTCCCGGTGACGCCGTCAAAGAGCAGAGGCTGTTATGATTCCGGGCTGAGCCTCTTCTCACTTCCAATCGCAGACATTGAAGAGGCTGTCCAAGCTGCAGGGAACATGGCCAAGCATCAAGACCTGTTCACACATATGCAACCGAGTAAGACCGAGAGAGACCAGACCGGTTCTTAAGCCTCTTACGACGTCTTAGGACCAGCTCCGCTGCGGCGCATCAGGTCCTAAAGGCCCGTTCACACCCAGCGACCTCTTAGAACTGGGTTCCTTGCAACCTCCGGTGCCATCTATAGGGTAGCAGTGTAAACTTGGCGGTCCGGAATATTGACTATTTCTCTTGCACATTATCCTTTCTTTCTTGGCTCGAGAAACTAATGTCAACGTTATAAACGCGCCTTTCTTATAGGTATTACGCACATTTAAACTCGGAAATCCCGCAAAACCTTCGCTCTCGTGAATTGCGGTTCTAGGGCCACCGCATAGATGGCGCCAGCGTGCCAGTGAGTTCTCTCGTCCAAAGAAATTTTAAGAGGTTTTAACAAGTCTCGTCTCTCTCGGTCGTACTCGGTTGCAAGAGTGTAAACGGGCCTTAAAGGCCGACGACCAGACTCGAGATTCTGCAAGGCAGAAGATCCTTCGCACCATGGGGGAGGAGGAAACAGGCAACGGTGGACCGGTGGACAGTCTAGAAGGGGGGAAAGAAGGAGGCGAGGGAAAAGGGGACAGCGCGAACTGGTCATCGGCCTTTAAGACGTCGCAAGAGGCTTAAAAACGGGACTGGTCTCTCTTGTTCTTACTCGGTTGCATAGGTGTGAACGGCTCTTTAGCCAATGGCTGGGGATGGTCCTTTGGCCAGTAGCGAAAGAATGGCCGTTCATCGGCCTATGCTTTGACGATGGCTGATGGCTAGTGGCCTTAGGCCTATAGCCAGAGAAGGGCCAATCATCAGCCGAAGGCTGGTCACTGTATTGCCAATGGCCAAAGGGCCATTTCCAGCCATTGGCTAATGATTAGCCAAATCTGTGCTGCTTCAGTGAGGAGGTCCCTGTCCAACAGACTTGGGAAGTAATCCGTTACAAGTAACGGATTGCCTGTAATCCGTAACTTTTTCAGGCAATTCTGTAATTGCCACGTTACTTTTTCTGCGACAATACTTTGTAATGTAATTTAGTTACTAATATTGGTAACGGAATACCTTAATTACTCGCAACTTTTTAAAAATATGAACATGATACAGAAACCAGAGCAATATCCGCAGACAATTCAGCCGCGTAAAGATAGCAAGTTCAATAAAATATAAAACATCGTGAAGAGGAGAATAACCGAAACGAAAGCACGACATTTCGTGTGACCGGCCACTATACTTCGTTCCACCTTAGGTCCGAGCGCGGCCGATGTTATGAGCCGAAGGGCCAATCTAAAGGCCTGTTCACACACTTGCGTTCGGAGCGAGCACTATGCTTACGAACGAATGCAACCGCTGCGATTTCAACGACAACTGTGCGCGACGTGTACGCACACATGCAACCGCATGCAACCACAAGAATCAACAGCCAATGAGAAGCGAGCTTCAGCTCTTGCTCCTAGCCAATTGTAAGCAACCCAGATACGCTTACAAACATGGCGGACGGTTTCCTGCCCGACGCGAGGTCCTCAGACTCCTCACCGGAGCAGCCGGAGGTTTCGGCTACGGCGAAAAGTCACGAAGATCTGCTGTGCGCCTACAATAGCTGTGTAAAGGCTGGTTCTGACATCTGCTACGAACCCGTTGTCCACGACTGCGTTTGTTGTGACCAGAGCGACCGGAACGACCGCTCTGCGCCGCGCGTACACTCCTGGAACCACTGCCACAAGCGCAGCGGATCGGCAGCACGGCGACCGCCTCTCCGTCGCCGTCAGCTGTTTCAGCAGGGCATCTAAAAAGAAGGGGATGCTCTGCCACTCACTTGCGGAACGAAGAATAGACAGACCGTCTTCTATGACCTAAACTTTATTTTTTTTCAGGATACGCTTGCAGGGTAGCGCGTTAAAAAACGGAAACGATGCAGTACGCCGTCTTGCGCGATCACGACCTTAATACACGACTTTGCCAACAGTACAAATATCGCCACACGCTTTTTCTACGATCATAAAAGACGATGTAATTTTAGCAGCGATATAGCAACGCAGAAATATAATTTCGTAAGCAGATAGACGTTGCGAGCGTCCAGGATTGTCACTAATCATCTTTCTCGGGTGATGAAAACGCGTGAAAACTCGCATCATTATACAGTACGCACCAGTAATACCTTGAACTTGAGCACACGCATGGAATGCGCCAAAAATTAAAAAAAATCCGGGCGATGTTCGAGGAGACAAATGCTAAGAAAGCACCACTGCAGTCGAAGTAAGCAAACACGACGGCACGGGCGTTTCTGCTGTCTTGAGAGTGCCGCCACGAGATCGCCGCACGAGTAGGTGGATCTTCCTTTCTAGTACGTGCTGAGTTATCATAACGACACACGACGAAAATTCACAGTCAAAGATAGCGCTTTTACGCGGAACGATGAGCTTCCACCACGCTGTTCACATCGACGATCACCACCGACGCCATGTTTGCAAACAGAAGGAGCCCGGGACGACCGGCATGCAACGCGCACGACCGAGCTCTCCTCGAACTGTGATTGGTCTGTCGCTCCCGTCGTTCCCGAACGTAACGAAAAAGTTCAGCCCGGCTCTTGAACCCAGGAATCCTGGGTTCGAGCCCCACCCCTGCCCGTTTCGATCTGGATGAGCATCGTACTAGCGTGCGGTCGTGTATCACTACTGCGTGGTGCACGTTAAAGACCCCAGGCTAGCGGTTGTACTGCACTGGCTAAATTGCTCATCTACAGCGTGTGACTCGTCGCAACTTTAATGGCTGACCAACTACACGCTGTATAAATATCCCCACAACCGGAAATGATCCCTGCAGAAGTCCAGGGATCATTTCCGGCCGTCGTAAGCTGATGGCAGGTGTGGTTGCAGCTTTCGCGACCTTGTCAGCTTACAGGTGAATGGTGCATGCGTATGAGAAATGGAAAGTAGTGTTGCAGAACATTCTTGAAAACATCCCAATTGTTTCTATTGTCGTCTCGACAAATGTGCGGGAAAAGTAACGTGAAAGCCATTTGTAATGTGACGAGTTGAGTAATCAGTGATTTTTCAGTGAAAGTAATTTGTAACGATAGTTTGAGGCGCGCGGTAATTTGTAATTGTAATTCATTATATTTTCCGAGTAACGGGCACAAGTCGGCAGTCCAAGGACCCGTGAGGGGAAAAACATTCTATTGTTACGAGTCGCCTCTGCAGTCTTGCCGGACGCAGACCTCCCACGTGCTCGCACACCCCGGCCCAGGCATCTCTCGTCCTGTTCCCTCGAGGAACGCGGGAACAGAGCCGCCCTCTTGCTCAAACACCGAGATCTAAACGGAGTCGCGTCCATCGTCCACTAGGACCCGGCCCGAAGGCCGAGGAAGCGAGTCCCCAGTTCTCAGCGGGGGTCAGGGGGGTCAACTCGCGCTGCCGCGGATGGAACGCTCGACATCACGCGCGGAGGAAGCCGCACCGCACCCACGCCGCGTCGGTCGGCATGTTCGGCGGCGTCCGAATGCCGAGCCCGAGACTCTGGTCAGTTGACGTGTAGTCGTTGGCGCTGCCAGAAGCTGAACCCGCTCTTTGGGTGGCCGATCGTAACAATGCTCAGACAGACCTTTCCCTTCTTTTTCTCCCCTCCTACAGTCCTCTTTACATTTTCGACGCCCCTACCCCGTATCATCGTCTGCAAAATGGCTCTGGTTCATTAGACACGTTCACAACTGGCTGAACGTTGCACTATAGGAAAGCATTTTTAACTCGTCAATTCTAGCTTCAAATTTTACAAGCAAATATAATTTATTAATAGGGTTGTGAGTAACATATTAGTTGAAGTGAGGGTTTAGTGAGCACTTCGATACGTATATATACCGATTATTATGGAGTTTTAGTAGGTCGTCCCGATGACTTCGATAACGATACCCGTACCGCTATCGGGCCCCGTTATCGGACGTATCGGAACAATCTGCTAAAACGCTATTAAAAAATTTTAAAGACGTTTACCATTCCCTGTAGTGCCGAATTAGAGCGCAGCTCTTGAGGAGGAGGAGAGGAAGGTACGGGGAGGAGGGTATACCCTTCCTCCTTCTTCCCTTCGTCCTCCCTCCTCTCCTTCTCCTCCTCCCCCTCCCTTCCTCCTCCCCCTCCCTCGTGACGTCACACGTGATGTCACTCGTGAAGGCCTCGTGATGTCACTCGTGAAGGCCTCGTGAAGGTCGTGACCTTCGTCGTTACCTTTGTGGCGTCACTCGTGACCCTCGTCACGTGTTACGTCATGATGGGAAACGTTCCATAATGCAACGTACGGTTACGCCGACGGCGACGGCGACGCCGCTCAAGCCGTAAACGGGCGCCTAAGAGCTGCGCTCTAAACAAAGAAAGACATTGTTCGTTGTAGAGTTACTGTCGTAGAATGCGTGTTCTCAAATGTATTTTGAACTGCTTCTTGCATACCGTCGTAATAGAAAGTAGAGAGGACAACGGTATCAGTCAGGTTCGCCCAATCAAAGTCACCCGAACATTTTATAGAACTTCGGTATGGTTGATCGTCAGAACGTGCTGGTGACACCATATTCATGGGCGTACCAACCGGGGGGGCAAGGAATGTGCTTTCCCCCCCCCCCCCTCCTAACTTCCAAACCGGAAACAGGCGCCTAAGAGCTGCGCTCTAAACAAAGAAAGACATTGTTCGTTGTAGAGTTACTGTCGTAGAATGCGTGTTCTCAAATGTTTATTGGACTACTTAGAGCGTCGTAATAGAAAGTAGAGAGGGCAACGGTATCAGTCAGTTCTCTCAAAGTCGTCCGAACATTTTATAGAACTTCGATATGGTTGATCGTCAGAACATGCTGGTGACTCACTGTATATTGGAAGTTTATAATCGAGGATGGGCGACGAACGTTCATGGCGGTTTCGTAGAAGACGGCCTTTCTCCTTCCAAGCTGGAACCCTGAGCAGCGTCCAGTCCCAGCCGGACCTGGCGTCAAGGATAGGCGTCGGTCGCATGGCTCCGACCATCCAGGACGCGCTGGCCCTCGTCAAGAAGGAGCTGTCCGACTTGGAGACAAAACATCGATTGGACATTCTTGTGTGACGTGGACATTCGGCCACCAGCCTAGTTGCTTCTTACGTGCGACGCCTAATCTACTTCACTCTGAGGATTGCTCCCCTGCCGGCGTGCATTCGCACTTCCGCTGACGACAGAGGTTGGTCCCCTTGGACCGGCCGTCAACGCAGATGAACTGCTGTGATGATGGTAAAAAAGTAGAGTGTACAATAATAATAATAGATACACCACTCTCAAATGTTTGAAAAAGAACTGCTGCGATTGTCCGTTTGCAATAAACTGAAGGCGCTTAGAGTGACATATATTGCTCTCTGATCTTCCTTTTGGCATGAGTTATGCCTATACTTGATTCTGTGAACGACTTAATTTTTGCTAGAAGCTAATTTTCGCAACTCGCCAAAAATTTATCCCGCGAACATATCCTCCCGCAAATAAAGAATATACAGAGTATCCCTCCTATTGGCGAAATTTTGTGCCCGTGAAATATTCCCCAAACCCCCGTCTCGCCAAATTCTTAAATATTGAGCCCAATAAAATAAAGTCGCTTACATTATTTATGGTTCAACGTGTTTATAGGGCGCAGCTCTTAGGCGCCCGTTTCCGGCTTGAGCCGCGTCGCCGTCGGCGTAACCATGAAGTCAGGTGACCCCGGTGACGTCACGTGACACTTGTGAGGTCATGTGACCCCCGTGAGGTCACGAGGGTCACGTGACCTCACATGCCGACGGCGACGCCGACGCCGCTCGGAGGGAAGAGTAGCAGGCAGAGTGAGGAGGAGGGGTATACACTTTCCTCAGTACACTTCCCTCCTCCTCTTAAAGGGCAACTCCGCTTCTTTTCCAGTAGTGCAAAACTATACAGTTCTCTTTGTTATCATCTACAAAACCCCCATGGCAAATATTACGACGGAATTCCGCCTAGAAGTTCATTAAAATCGCTGCCAAAGTTTGACAAGCACGAATCCGCTGGTTTTGGATGAGACGTGCGGGCCAGACAACACTGCCCGGATGCATTTCCGCTTCCTCCAAATTCCTTCTCCCGGCAAGTCCGTGACGTCATCAAGCATGTACAGCTTTTTTTTTTTTCAATTTTGTTTTCTTTTTCGGGGAGAGCACGGGTGGCACACTGGCACCAGCGCCGTGCTCTCCCCGGAGAGGGAAGCTGCTTTTGTAAGAATTTTGAGTGACAGGTTAATCCTCTATAATCTTCTGGGGGGGAAAATAGCGACGCCTGTGCTAATCCAGGAGGCACAAAGGAGGATGTTATAAGAGTGGAGCTCCTTCTTCCCTTTGTATATCACGTGGGTGTACATGCTTAGTGATGCCGAATATACAATGTTGTCCGGCTTTGCCAGCGTTTCGGTTTCGGTTTGTGATCATGGCTAGAGTAAAATTACGCGAAAAATATTTTATTTTTCGCGAAACAAAGGATTGGGGATTGTTTTTGAGTGCTTCAAAAAGCAAAATCGGCCACTATCTCAAAATTTTTGAAATTAAGCGGAGTTGCCCTTTAAGAGCTGCGCTCTAATTCGGTGTTACAGGGAGTTGTAAACGGCTTTCATTTTTTTTTTTATATTTTCTAGGTAAATTTTTTTCTTTACTGTATTAATTCATTTGTGAATAAATTTGTCGTCTTCTTTTTTATTTCGTAACTAATATCCATCTTTGTACTTTTTTTGCGTACGACTTTTTTTTTTGTATGCTAGAAATTAAGTGTTTTTTGCTGAAACTAAAGAGGGACTCGTCAGGCCTCTGGTCTCGGCCACCTCTCGGTAAGCGGTAAAGTAATGAAGAAATAAAAATTAAATAAAATGTAAGTACCAATAGTCACTAACAAATTGAGGACGGCGGGGTGTGTATTCCGAACACCCGGCCTCCAGCACGCCAGCACGTTTTTATTTCTGTGACCTGAACACCAATTCAGTTTCCCCGTCAAATTTAGCGGGGAAAATGACGTCACATGACTTTGTGTCACGTCACCGATAAACAAATTCAGTTTCTCCGCTAGATTTGGCGGGAAAATTGAGGTCACGTGACCATAGCACCAATTCAATTTCCCGCTAAATTTAGCCGGGCGGATACACCGCAGAAACGGGAGCCTAAAGGCTGCGCTCTAAAACGACTGTGTGACAAGTCCCTACGTTTCTGCGACATTGCCTTAACAGTTGGCTGGACGTTAGACCATAGGGTAGTGCTTTGAATAGGTATTTTTAATTTCAAATAAAATCTATTAAATAGGTACTTGGGTTCCGAAACCCTCCGATATAGACACTCAAAATTTACAACTTGCTTTCCTTCACAATCAATATCGTAGAATGCGCAAGTTCTAAACCCTTTATCAAACTACTCCGTGCATGCCGTCGTCACACAAAGTAGTAGGCATGTACGAATAGTTGTCTTGGCCGAACGTTTTCAAATCGAAAAGTTCTTCCCATGCCTTTTACTGCCGTGCACCATGTTTAAACAAAAATTCAGCTGAACTCATGAAGGCTGTTACCAACCTTCCTGTCCAATCATATTTGTGAACCGTAGCACATGAACGACAAAATTTGTCGCAGCTATCTTAATTGGGGGAATTTATAGGTCTGCCTGGTATATGCAAATATTCATTCTTAAATTTCAAATTTTACAAAGAAGATAGAAGAGAAAAACAATAACTTTAATGATGAACGGGGTTTTGTCAAGGAATCGCTGCTTCGCGCCGGGTTAGCCCTGTTAAGTGCATCCATCACCGAGCACGTGGGCACTGCGGGGAAGCAACACCCACGAAGCTAGCATATTATTTGATATTACTGTTAGAAAACTCGAATATTCGCATAACTCTACAAAGTGGATACGACAACGCTATGGAGGTCAGGCAATTCAGTCGTCTGAATACCTTATAGAACTTCAAGATGGTTCACCACAAGAATGGGCTAGTAACCGACTACACAGAGGACCGCGAAGAGTGTTTACGGCCTTTTCGTAGAAGACAATTAACCTTTCTCTTTTCAAGCTGGAACCCTGAGCAGCGTCCAGTCTCAGCCGGACCTAGTTTTGAGGATAGGCGTCGGTCGCCTGGCTCCAACACTCCAGGGTGCACTGGCGCTGGTCAAACACTAACTGTCCGCCCCGAAGACTAGGCTCCGACTGGACGTTTTTGCGTGACGTAGACATTCGGCCATCAGTCTAGCTGCTTATTACGTGCAACGCCCAGTCTACTTGACACTGAAGATCGCTCTATTCTCCCGCTGGTCTCAGAGGTCTGCCAATCTGACAACGCAGACAAACAGCTGTGATAATTCTTAAAAAATTAAAAGAGAAAACAAGAAAATACAATAAAAATGGGTACAACACCCACAAGGTCTCAGGTTTTTAAAGAAAAACTGCTGTGGCGGTCAGTCTGCAGAAGTGCCGCAAATAGAAAATTGAAACCTTCCTAGCATGCCTGTAAGAGGCTATACAATAAGAAAATCATATAAATATCAAAGTTTCTTCCCTTTTTAATCTTTTCATGCAGCCAGGGCTACATTAAACTTTAAAGAAAGGATGCTAAGCAATTTCAGTTAGAGAAGAAGAGGAACAACTTTGAAGGGAGCTTCTTTTATTGAATTCTGTGTCAAAACAAAGCAATATTTAGACAGGCCAGCCTTAAACAGAATTGAGGCCTCAATGGTCAACACAGAATAAAGCAAGACACAGCAAAATGCAAACTGCTCATTCATGACAAAGGTATAAAGAATGTGATATAACAAAGTGTAACCACAGCCCCTTAAAAGGTACTGCCATTATAAACAAGTCTGTAGAACTACAAATACATAAGCATGTTTGCGGACGTCCATACTACATCATTAGCAAAGCACACTAAAATAAATAAGAATAAATGTTGCAAAAAAAATTATATGTGAAAAGAAGCTCGTATGATACTACATTTGTGTTGGCCTTGCACAGCTAGAGTTGGTACTGCGACCTGTGTATATGTGATGTGTGGTAAGATCCATAAAACATGTCAATTTGCTAAGTTTGGTAGTTTGGCCAAGATTACCTCTGTGAGAAAAAGCATTACAAATATGTTTTGGCAAACCTTTACTCGAAAAATGTATAGCTGTCATTTCATAAAGAAACCTGAGACTCAAATGCATTCACAAAAAAAAAAAACAAAAAAAAAAAAAAACATTGGGCAGTACCCACATAAATGCTGGCCCAAAATGGAAGTTTCTTGTATACATACTGCTTGGAGAACTGCAAAAACTTTCATGTAGAGCCTTGTTGTGATATAGTACATGCAATTTGGCAACGGCATGGAAAACATTGTTCATGCACACAAGAGGATTATGAAAAAGGTTATTACTACATGTAACAAAAAAAAACATCAAGTACAATTCAGGGAAATGCAAGAAGTCACACACACTCTCACTAAAAAAAACACAAGTTTAGTTCTTGCATAAAAACTTCATGGGCTGAATCCTTCAAACACACAAATAGCTGCTATGGAAGTTTGTAAAGCGAAACAAGATTAGAACTCGTTTCTTGTACATTTCCAAGACGGAAGGTTTGGAAGGTGAAAGAAGACTGAAGGCTTGAGCTGCTAAAATTTACTGGAAGATCTTTGGAAGCTATGACAGGGATGATAAACTAAACATACATTTTCAGAAATACTTTTCATGTGCTAACTATTTATAGCATTTCCAGATTCATTCAAGGGCTTGAATAAGATTTCTTCTTGTTTTCTTAATACCCAAACCCACCTAAAAGTAAAAAAAATAGATGTTGCAAGTGTTGTACTTAAATCTGAAAACCTTAATGAGGTACATCAATGTGCATAAAAACAAAACAAAGAAAGTGCACAATTTAGCAGTCCCCAGTCACTTCAGTGGCAATAACATTGCATATCGTCTTTCATACACACATTCTATCAGCAGTGTGAAGATAGACATCTGAGATATTAATAGCATCACACCAAGTCACCAACAAAGAATTATCTTGAAGCCTGCATTCACCACAGCTTGAGCAATGTCATCTCGAAGCGAAGGAAAGTACTTCAGAGATCGAAAGTTGAGAAATGACTGGTACACTTCCATGAGACAAATTTTCAACCACCTTTCTGGAATCAATGTTGCTTCAACAATCTGTTAAGCTTGACAGACAATTTTGTTCACACAAAAAAATACAATTTGCATTGTGTTTAGTAATATCGGAAGGACAGCAAATGAAGTGAGAATTCAGTGTTCTCAATTTTTTCTCGCAATCTAGTGACATCACATCGCTGGTCAACAAGCGGCTTGGCAGGATGACTCCTGATAATTCATCCTCCAGTTCGTAGCGGACGGTTCAAAAGAACAAGTGACGGCTTTCAACAGCTAAAAAAATAGTTGCCTCTGCTAGCGAGAAGAATAGATATAGTAAGCTTGTGAAGCATCCTTCCCATAAACGTGCAATAGAACCTCTTAGAACATGTTTAAGTATGAGGTAAATAAAGGTGTACAAACAGGCAATAATTGAGCTTTTAATTACAACTGCTTTACAGTGAAAGCTAATACTGTTGTTACCATGATGGCATAAGTGGGAGGCATAATGTGGAGCAGAAGCAGCACAGATAGCTATGCAGGAATATCTATATACTGATGACATATTTCTATCCAGATGACTGTGACAAAAGCAGACAACTAAATGAATGAAGCAGGTAGCACAACAGATATTCAAAATAAAATCTACATCTAACTAGTTACCAGCACTGAATTTTTTTGGCATTGCAATTCTCACGCTTGACTTTCTTACACAATGAACATGCAAAACACCTAGTGTAACAAAATGATATCAGTTCATATAAACAAAGCAAAAGAGGAGAGCCATTAAATTCAGAATAAGTGCCAAGTTCAAAGTAACACAGTTACCATTGTATTAAAGAAAATACAACTGAAGATAATGGTTGAATAAACTTTTCCAGTTTAATAAATTGTTGGATGGTACAGCCTTCAAGTAATGTAGCTCTAAAAAATGAAAGAATGAAATTACACAATTCCGGTAATTACACAGAACCTAGATTAAATGTTCTCTATACTTGATACTACATGTTTAGACCACATTAATTGTAGTGAAAGGCAAAAAAATTCTAAAGCCACCAATGGGTGAAGGATGTGAAAATTTCAATGAACAGATACAAAGAAAACCTTGATTGCCAAACATGCCACAGCCAAGAATTCTCAGTGATAACATTTCCACAATTTTTAATTTCAAGCTGAGAGCATCACATTTAAAATGTACAAACATGGCTATAATGAGATTAGGAAAGATTTGTTTCAGATCTACTACAGTCCCAAAAGAAATAAAAAATAAACAGAAGTATGCAATATAATTCCTATGAGAAAAAACAATGTGGCAAGATACAAACTCGACCAGCATCCAATACATATGCTACCAACTCTTCAATAGCATATATGCCGGTAGTTCTGATCAGTGATAAATCCTACGATTTTTTTTTTCTTTCTGACTGGTCTACAACTCAGATAGGAGTGGTGGCCTGCAGCTTCAAATAAAGTTTAGTTGCACTCGCTGTGGACTGAATATTTGGACTCATCTGTATCCAACATGCATTCTTCAGGCTAATTCCTTCATTAAAATGCATGTCAGTGTTTGAGCAAAACATTCACAGACCTTGAAAATATGGCCCAAATGCTACAACAGCACTGCTAACAGTAAAAATTCTGTATTAATTATGAACAGCCCATTAAATGCCATGACAGTACTATTCTAAAAAGTGGCAGCAAACGCTAACCGAAAGCAGCCGTTGGATGAAGCAACAAAATGCTTCTAAATCCCTTCTTGAAACCCCGCCTCTTGCATGTGAGCTTTTAAGTGCCATTTTAAAAGAACAGTGAACAGTTGCTGCCAGACTGAAAGAAAGCAAGCAGTGACTATCAAGATTTCAAGAATCCAAAATAAAGCCAGTCCAAAACAAAAAAAGAAACAAAAAAAATGTTCCGGGAAAAACAGATCCAGAGAAATGTAAAAGGGTCACTCAACGTCATAGAATAGCGTGAAAAGAGCAGCAGTCGTATGCAAATGGCTCCCTAAAAAAATAAACATGCTTGAAATTAAAACTTAACCTCCCCAAAATATGTTAAAAAAAAACACTCAAAATGAGACTCACACAAAATAAAATGAAGGCTAACATGGATGCAGCTTCCCAACACATAATAAAATAAGAAAATTACTTCTATCTGTGGATCAGCAGAGATAACATACTAATATCTGGCAAGCAAACAACCAATGACATGACCAATGCAAAATTGAAAATTCTCTTGATTTCACAAATACCTAACCTTGAAGTAATTAGTTTCTTTGCAAAACTAGCATCATAGAAGCCGAGATTGTTACGAAACTGCCTCTCCATACATATTTGACACACTGCAAACAACCATTTGAAAAACACAAACACCAGCCAAGCAGGTGTAAAGAGGCCACAGAAAGAAACTACTGGAAAAGGAGAGTGTATTCATGCTTGGGCTAAAACGACAAATATAAAAACTCGAGTGACAAGCTGTAGAACCTAGTATCTGTAAAATAAAAACAGCTCTATAATCAGAAACAGAGAAAGGGGATCAAGAAACAGATGTGTGTGGAAAATGGAGAAAACCTAAAACTGGATAAGAGCTGGAGCAGGCCAGCCAATTCTAAAGCATTCCCTGGAAGCCATAAAAAAGATGAGACTACCACTTATCAGAAGATGTGGCACATTTCTGTTAATCAGTGCTCATTGTAAGCAGCTAACTAACAGTACAACTGAGATTAGAAGTCCTTAAAAAAAGCCTTATGGGTGCATGGAAGCTTAAAACAGCAGTGCAAGACAGGAAGCAACAATGTTTATCAACTTATCATGCAGAACCATGCCTCTCATGCATGAAGATTCTATTTCACTGACAACAAAGGTGCACAGATGCAGACATAAGGTCACAGCCTGCAAATGTTAAATGCTGCCCTTTTTTTTTTTCAAGACCCAAGTAGAAACTGAGTCTGCATGTGTCCCTTCAGCATTTCATGGCATTCATTCTATTGTCTCAGAGGTCCTTAGTGCTTCACACTTTACGGTGCCCACAAGCTTTCAGTGGGTGTCTTGAGTTTTTACACTTGACATGTGGCAGTAGGACAAGAGATTGCTGACTGCCTAAACGTTGTATGAGCAGTGCACTTTGATTGCGTGGGACTAAGCTGCAGATACCGCGATAGGTTTGCTGATAGCGCAAAAGGTTCACGACTAACACCGTAGGAGCTAAAATTAATTCCTGGAATGGAATGAGCGGCACTGATTTTAGCACCGTTAGAGCAAAACGTTGTGATGCTTACTTCTTTTTCAAATGATTTGTAAACAAACCAAGAGCTGAAGCTACCTGTTCATTGTCACAGTACTAGGCTTTCAAAAGCTTCTTCGAAGCATTTTTCTTTAGCAGCGTTCGTTTTGAATACCCACTTTCAGAGAAACATTGTAACTAAGTGTCTCCCACTAAATCTTTGCTCCCTACAGTACAGGATGTAACAAAGCCATGTTTTCCAAATGAAAGAACCAGCAAAAGCTTTGGGGTCAATACGATGTAATAAATGCCAACAGGAGACATTGAGTTGAGGTGGAACCTCATATTTCTTGGGACTAATCGTTTCCGCAGGTATAATAAGAAATACGGTCTGGACAGCATAACCAAAAGTAAAAGCTAATGACTATCAACCAAGATACCGAAAGAATTAATAGCCCAAGAACTACAAACATCTTAGCAAGTGCCTTTGAATAAGCCGATACAAGCATTTTTAAGCATTTCAGAGAGACTTGGTGCACTGCCCAAAAATGCTCTGCTCAAGTGTCCCAAGTGGTCTTTGGAAGCCCACGGAAATCCCAAGTTTGGTCCTCCAGATGGCACAATCGAGTGGAATCATGTGAACTTTCGTCAAGCATAGACAAATCTGCTGCATATGGAAGCAATGACCTGGCAAAGCAGCATTTTAGAATTACACCTGTACTACCAATGATTGGGATCCCTTCTTTCCAGCAGCATTGTGTGGCATGGAAGAACATGCCGGAGCCGTGTGAAGAGAAAGGTGCCTCCAAAATGTTACATAGACGACATACAAACCCGGAGTCTGCCCAGACAAAATTCATGCCAAACCCCTATCGACAGCAGTGTGACGATCAAAGCATTTCAACACACTCCAACATTGTAAGCATGCTAAAATTCAAATCATTCCTACATGAAAGTAGGTACAACTTTTCATGAACGATGCAAGTATCTGTATGTTCCCAAAGGGCTTACGGAACTAAAGTCCTCGTAATTTCTCGGCTCATTTTGTAAACTCGTTTTGGTAAAAATAAAGATAATGTCTGGCAACATAAAAGAGGTCCGTGCTGGGACACCAAGCATGACCTAGCACAGCACCCATGCCTATGCTTTCGGTGCTACATGATTCACTGGTCCCCTTCCGCAAATCGCAGGGACTGGTTTGCCATGCGCAGCTCATGAAAAGGCTGACCTTCTTCAGATAAACATGGTGACCTGATATCCCTCTAGTTGCTGCTATTAGAGACAACTCAAACCCTAAATAGCTAAAACAAGGATAAATTGTTCCTATCTGGAAATAGCTCATCCCACAATAGGTCCTTTGGGGATGAGATGTCATTAATTGGGGACAACTCGTTATTAAATAGTTTGTTTGGGAATAAACTGCTCGTAAATGAGGCCAACTCACCCCTCAATAGTTAAATTTGGAAATTGCCCCTAAGTTGCTCTAATTGGGGATGCAATGTTCCTATTTCAGAACAACTCATCCCTAAATAGATTAATTTTGAGATGAGCTATTGCTAATTAAGAATACCTCATTCCTAAATTGTTCATTTTAGGATGAGTTGTCTCTGGGGACAACTCATCCCTAAATAGTTAAATCTGGGTGTCAATTATCCTTAATAGAAGAAAACTCATCCCTAAGTACCACATTCGGGGATGGGTAGTTGGTAATTGAGGAGCCCTCATCCCTGAATAGGTAAATATTGGATGAGATGTTGCTAATTGGGGGCAAGTCATTCCTAAATAGATAGTTTGAGGATGAGCTAATTGGGGACAACTCACCTTTAAATAGCATAATTTGGGGATCGGTATCCCTAATTAGGGCACCCTCATCACTAACTAGTTTATTTAGAAATGAGTTGTTCCTAATCGAGAACAAGTCATTCCTAAGAAGTTCAATTGGGGATGAGTTGTCCCCCAATTGAGGACAACTTGTCCCTTAGTGGCTAAATTTGGGGATGAGCTGTAGTTAATTAAGGACACTGCATCCTTAAATGGCAAGGTCTGGGATGAGCTTTTCCTAATTTGGAGACAAGCCTTTACTATGTGGACACGGCCCATCCCTGAACGCCTCATATGTGGGACGGCTCATCCGACGTGTTTTGAAAGGGAGCTGAGTGCAGACAGGGACACGCTGGAGGCGGGGCTGCGGTACCTGGGCCTGGACTGTCCCAGGCCGTTGGGGTTTCCCTGCCCAGAGCCGAGGGGCGAGGCCTTGGACCCCAGCAGGGTGCACGGGGACTGGGACCCCGTAGAGCTGGGGGAGGAGGCTCCTCCGTCGTCCAGGGCCAAAGAGGGCCGCCGGTTGAGCAGGATCACGTTGCATGTGTCATGGCGGGACAGGAAGTGCTCCAGCGTGTCCCAGCCACCGCCCACGCGGATCATCACATGCCGCTCCTTCAGCAGCTGGCAGGGCGGGCAAAAGGAGAATTTTGTTTGAGATTTAGCTTAAAGGTGCACTGAATAGGAGTCTGAGCTCCTCTCTTCATGCCAACAACCAGTCTTGTGTAAGTTACCTACAAAAAGCAATTTGTTACTGTTACTTTCAGAAAAAAAAAGTAGCAAAGTATTGTTACAGTTACGACAACAAAAAAGTAATCTGTTAGAGTTAAAGTTAATTAAAAAATAATGGCATAAATTTTAGTTACTTTTACATTACATAACGTATCAAAAAGAAAATGTCCCACCGCCCCATTTATTGCATGAAGCGCGAATAAAGTTGGCTCAACGCAAACATGACACTCAAAATGTAGGAACCGATCCTTTGGAAAGTGCAAGGAATGGCTAGATTCTACTTGAAAGTGATGACTTTTGTCATCACTCTGAAAAGTGATGACAAAAGTAATATCATTACTGTCACTTTTACTCCAGAAAACGTAATAGAAGTGCAGCTACAAGTTACAGTTTGAAGTAATGCACTGTAGTTAAAAGTAGCAGAAAAGTGATAATGTGTTACTAGCCAAGACTGGCAAGAACTCAATCATGCACCCTCAGCATCCCAAGAAATTCAAAACTAGGACTGTGCGAGGCCTTTTCCGTGTTAAAAATGTAACCAAACACAGCGACATGCCTGTGTTTTAAGATACAGCCCTGAAAAAGGGGCATGTCATAAGGTTCCCGAGAAGAGAAGCCTGTCGTAATGTTTGGTTGCATTTTTGAACAAAGGAAAAAGGCAAGGTGAAACTGTAATTTTGGGTTTCCTAAGATGTTTAGTGTGCATAGATTAATTAAGCTTGCACCAAAAAAAAAGACTATCTCAGTAGTCGCTTTAGTGCCCCTTGAAAGGAACCGTAAATCCTTCTGCAAAAACACAGATCTCCAATGCAAAACTAAATACGGACAAATTCTTGATTCTTGTTTTAGCGACATGTCTGTGCCTCTGAACGAACCTGCTAAATTAGTTCTGTGTTCCTTTTTTCCGTTTTTTGGGAGGGGGGCGGCAGTTTTTTTTGTTTGTTGTTGCCTTCCTTTCCCTTTGTGTCGAGTAGGTAGGGCCACAAAGTTGGTTTTTGTTTGAAACCAACTTGAAAACAAACCAAGTTGATTGGTTTGGTTTGAGGGTTATTGTTACCTTGTGTTGGGTAAACCTCCGTTGTCTGACCTCTTGTTGGTAGTTTCTTCGTGGTTTTTTTTTTTGTTGTGTTTATTGCCAAGTGTATGCTTCTGCTAGGCCATCAGCATGCTTTTTGCTAGGCCATCAGCATGCTTTTTTAAAAATGTCTTGTCGTAATAAAAGTTTACATGTTTGGAGATATATGTCGTTTGTCTCCTTTTTTTTCCCCCTGCTCCCAAATTACTAAGTTTACCTTAATCCGGTCTACTTGTACTCCCGCTTTAGTTTGAATATCGCTACTCTCTGGGATTTCTTCACAGTCTCACGTTTTCTCAGGCACCAATGGGAACTCACCCTGACAAAGTAGATGCGTCCCCCGATGCAGTACCTTCCCTCGGAAATGCGCTTGATCTGGGTTTCGTTTTGGCACACACGACTGGCTATTTTCCGGACCTGGAACGACACATCATGCATCTGTCAGGAAGCATGCTAAACTTTTTCTTTCCCATTCAGGACAGTTCATAGGGTGTATGCAAAAACAATGAGCAAGTATCATGCAGTGTAGTATGAAACGACATTCCAAGGAAAGATGTTCCTAGTACACCTTCCTGAAATGTGTTCCTGGAACGCATTCCTTTGAAAAGAAATGGTGGAACATGGCCCTTTCATCTTGCATTGGTGGAACTGGAACTCGTCACATTTTCAAAAAAACGACAGGATTGTAATTTTTTTTTTTTTTTTTGTTTATACATTTGCAGTTTTATCCAGATTTAGTACACATTTAGACTTTTTATCATCGACCATTTCAACCTGGGACTTGAAGGAGTTGAGAAGTGTCCCAGAGACAGTCGAAAACAAAGAACTGGCAGAAATATGATTGTGGCGACACGACACATAGTTCGATGTGGATATTTTTGCTCTCTTGCTTTATTTTATCTATAGATTATCCAGCACAATATTTAATTAAAATATGCAAGTGTGACATTAATGTAATGACATGTTAGAGCTTTAGAAATGCAAGAGAACCTTTTGAAACCCTGCAACATGTAAAAGGAACTCATTCCAGGATTGAGAAGGAAAAAGGAACACACTATCGTTCCTGTTTTGGAGGATTGTGTACAGCACTAGTGTCACGCAACATTGTACCATACAGACATTTTGAAAATCCTTCTATCAGCACTAACAGGATGTCATGACAGACAATGAGACTACATTTCACACAAATAGTCGGCGTTGCAACAACATTGTGTGACCAGAGGATAGTCAAGAAGCACACCAGAATTAGAATCCTCAGTGATATGAATACAACAAGACAGTATTCTCTAATATACCGAATTAACAAACACCCTGGAGCAGCCCATAAATTTGGGCTGCTCCAGAGTGTATAATAATAATCATTATTATATAATATTAATTATAACAATAATAATATATTTATTTATTTATATTTATAATAATAAAAATAATAATAATTATATTGCAAATATGAAACATCAATACAAAAGAAAGCAAGTCTGCCAAAAGCGGTTTGAAGGACTAGACTCGGCATCGACGTAGAGAAAAAACAGTTATATATAAACATAGCATAAGACGAAAGTAAACACAAGTTACAAAAATTGCAGACAATCCTGCAAGAAAAAAAGAACTCGCCAAAAAAAAACAAAAAAACAGACCACCAAGCATAATGGTTCCGGAAAATTAACAAACAACATAGAGTAGAAAACATAATACAAAACTATTAATAATAATAATAATTTATGTACACACAATGTATTCAAAACGACACTATAGTCGGTGACAGGTCAAGAACAAAGTGGAAGCTCCTCCCACCTCTTTCCACTTCAGAAGAGCGAAACCTCTCCAGCGTTCGCTCTGCTGAAGTGGAAAAAGGTGGGAGGAGCTTCCATTTTGTTCTTGACCTGCCACCGCCTATAGGCAGGTTCGTCGAAGCCAACAAGGGCTTGTAGGACTGAACCTAAGTAGTAGTGGTAAATAAGGGTGTATTAGAAAATTTTAAAATAAAGCAGAAAAACAGCAGATGGCCTTTTGCACAATAATGCACAAAAAATAACACACATAATAACAATAATAATGATAAAGTAAATACTGTAGGGTTCTCGTCCGATTCCCCAGGCCCCTGTCTCCGGATGAACGTGACACAGCAAACGCATAGCTCTCGGCAGAAGGGGTTTATTCCACTCACATTCTGCTGGGGGTTTCGGGATCGGGAGAAGTGATCGAGGAGGCCTGGAGGGGGTGCGCCGCCACTGTATGCTGCATGCCGATCGTCCGTGCGGTGCTAGTCCACACCGCATCCTGTGAACGTCGCCGTCGAGGGTCAAATCCGGGGTCTAAGTCCGGACCATGTCACCGGGCCGTCGCCCGAGCCGACGTCGCGGTCGCCACCCCCGCGCACGTCCGTCGTGGCCCGTTTCCCGCGCAAGAGTCCCCTTTGCCAATTTCCCGTCGTCCGTCGTCCCAACCTCCCCCGCTCCCGCCGTCGCCGCGCACCAGACCGGCGGGGGCCTCTTGTCTCCCATCGTGGGCGGTCTCTCGCTCGAGCTCCCCGTCTGGCTCTGCCGTAGCACGTGCAGGGCCTTGGGCGCCGACGCTGTCCGGGAGGGAGGGTCCTGGATGTCCACCGCCAACGCCGCCAACGTCTTCCAGATGGGTCCCGAGGCAGGAGGTTCTCGGGCACCAAGCTTCAAAGGCGCCGCCCTCGCCAAGGCGGCATCCGAAAACGAGTCCTCAGGCGCCGGCGTCCGGTTGTCGACGAGAGGGGGGCTGACAAGACCCCACACCATCCCCCCCTCAAACCAAGGCCCGGGGGTCATGAAGGTCAGAAGTGGAGGTTGCGGAGATGACCCAAATACCGCACGGGAGCTCAGCTGAGTGTCGCCGATAATGGCGATCACCCTTGATGATCGCGGCCTGGGTGTCAAACGAGGCAAGCCCGCGGGGACAGCTCATTCGCCGGGAAGCTCGAATAGGCAGTGCACAGTCCAGAAGCGGGCCCAGAGCACCACCGCTCACAGCGCGCACGGGCACTAAGTCGCACACAATACACCAAAATTGAAAGCCCCTTCCACCCCAGTGTTCGAGACAGAAAAACGAACGCCAACAAATCGCGGCACTGAATATCGTACGGCGTGACGAAGCCAAATCTTCAGCTCAGTGTGCATGCCACAAGATACAAACGAAGCTCTTCGTTCTAAAACTATTAAACATACACTCATCAAGGTCGTCACGCTACATGTTCAAAAGATGTACCCAAAAATTAAACGTATCATCAACTCAGGAAGCATGCAACAACACCAAACTATTGTCAAAATGTATAGTCATTAAACAACCATTGTTCTTATACAAAACAACCCAATCGCTCTCTACTAAAATGTTACATAATCTACGGGAGCGCTAGAGAATCGCTTCTCCGACAACAGAATTCACTTTTCACACAGCTAAATCACTTGTGATGAAAACACAAAACATCAGCACAAAAGATAACCTTCTTCACGTCACAAGCAGCTACAAATCCTGCACCATTCGCGAGGTGCGATACACAATAACCATACGAACAAAACCTGCCGCTGACAGTACCAATTAACATTACGCATATTCACGTAGACATCGTTCGCGACTCTTACGCCACCAGCAAGCCACTACTACGGTACGCGGCATGCCGTCATCGGGTTGGATAGCCGCCACCCAGAGAGGCATGTGCCCCGCGGTACCGGCCATTGAGGCCAGCACAAGGGGACAACATTTTGATATGCCGGATGGTGCGCCCAGCAGTAGCAAGTCTATTGGACGTCCTTCTTACAAGGCCGTGTACCAGAGGTTGCCGCGTCACTGTTCGGGGATAATCTCCAAACAAGAGCGATGAGCGTGCAACGGGGGTACATACCGAAGTGTAGTGGAGTGACCACTATGGAGTCCTGCCCTGCACAAGCTCGAAAGTTGAGATCAACGCATTGACGCACATTCAAATTCTTCCCCGGCCAAGCCACAACGCCGCATGACTGAAAAGTCTTCTTGCGACTGTCAAGGTCGGCCAGGATTGAGCAATGGAGGTACCTCATCTACGCGTCTCGCAACTCTTCTATTCTCAATCCAAGAACGAGTCCTTGGATGAACGCAGCAGGGTAGGCACAAAGCCCGCCCCAGACCAAGTCAAAGCACCGCATAACTCAAAAGTCTTCTTGCGACTGAAAAGACTGGCCAGGTTCGAACAATGTGAGCACCCCGCACGCGCCTTTTCTCTTCCGCGCTACAAGCGCGACACCAAAGTGTCATATAATCTAAACGGCCGATCTTGGAAATGGACGAGTTAATAAACTATGTTTGCTTCGCATAAACCGTTTCCGCAGCGTCGAAGTGTTTACCGCATTTACCGCTGGCTTCCAACACCCGCTGGTCATTCATGCAAAAGCTGCAGTTTGTACAGCGACGGGCTGACCTAACGCACAACAGTTATAGGCCGCCGACGTCCATGCCGCTGCCATAATTTCTAGGCTTCCCGGGCACCCGCCGACGTGAACCGTACGTTTTTCCGGGCCTCCCGCGCAGCTGTACAGGATAAAACTATCAACAACTCGTCTCATTATCGCAAGACCGCCACCTCCTTCGTGAGGCTCTTCACTACACGAGAACGGCTCTTTCCCCACCTAACCGTCTTTCCCTCTTTTACTCTAACACGTTATCCCTCCGCACGCCCTCGCGTCCCAACGCGTTCCAAACACGGCGAAGAACCTGTACCATGCCCAGCGGCAACGCAGGGCACGCACTTTTCCGCCCCCTCTCCGGGCATGGGGACAACAACTCGAGAGTAATCTCCGCCCGAAGCGCAAACTCCGATATGGCGGTGTGAGGGTCCGGCAAAAACTGCCCGCAATTAAGCGGGATCACCCCCACGACTCTTCAGCCAGGGACGAACAGAACTTAACAATCGCGTCAACCTGGACCCCACGGAGCATTACACACAGCCACTGATAAGGTGGGCACGGAAACTCGGTGGCTTTCAGAATTCCGATGCAGTCACACCAGGCATCGCGTATCCGGCAACACTTGGGGGGATTAGTCCCAAGGTGTCACCTCTGGCCGCAAGGTACTGCATCAGTGCGGTCGAAGCCACAAGAGCACATATTGTACGCAAACGCTGTGGACGCACGGTACTCAAAACCGCGCCGACAGCTCAAACAAGGCCAGCTGGGAGCGAGCGTGCAGTAAAACTAGAACGCTAGGCTCCCCTCGGACAAAATGCAGTTCGGGAATAATTTCTCGATGCAGTCCGTGCAACCGCCGTCCGCAATGCAAGTAGTATTGAGATACTCCCACAGCGAACCCTCTCTGACGCGAGCAGTCGAAAACAGTCAATCCAAGGCACTGCAACGACACGCGAACAAAGGCGGCTGCGCGCGTCCAATCGCCCAATAAATGAGCTGACATCTCACCCATCGGACGTGGACGGCCGGAGGGGCAGTTGGGGCGACGGAACACCCGACACTGCAGGCCTCAAAAAGGGCGGGAATATCCACGCACAATGAACACCTGCGCGGCATCAAGAGGCTGAAGAATAAACCTGCCAGCATCCGACGGCACAGATAAACAGTGGATTAAGGCGCTCCTCGCCACAGGGGATAAACTCCTGGTTGATTGGGACAAAGGATTGTCAGCAAAGACAACGTCTATGTCCGCGCTTCCTCATCAAGCAAACGATCATGTCGGAACTCGTGCGGCGTTGCTACAACGAGGATCGCCCCCAAAAGGAGTGCGGAAGCAATGCCCCAATCCAACCGGAAACAGACCAGGAATCGGAACTCTAGCCTGAATGTAATTCAGGCCCCACGTTGGGCGCCAATAATGTAGGGTTCTCGTCCGATTCCCCAGGCCCCTGTCTCCGGATGAACGTGACACAGCAAACGCATAGCTCTCGGCAGAAGGGGTTTATTCCACTCACATTCTGCTGGGGGTTTCGGGATCGGGAGAAGTGATCGAGGAGGCCTGGAGGGGGTGCGCCGCCACTGTATGCTGCATGCCGATCGTCCGTGCGGTGCTAGTCCACACCGCATCCTGTGAACGTCGCCGTCGAGGGTCAAATCCGGGGTCTAAGTCCGGACCATGTCACCGGGCCGTCGCCCGAGCCGACGTCGCGGTCGCCACCCCCGCGCACGTCCGTCGTGGCCCGTTTCCCGCGCAAGAGTCCCCTTTGCCAATTTCCCGTCGTCCGTCGTCCCAACCTCCCCCGCTCCCGCCGTCGCCGCGCACCAGACCGGCGGGGGCCTCTTGTCTCCCATCGTGGGCGGTCTCTCGCTCGAGCTCCCCGTCTGGCTCTGCCGTAGCACGTGCAGGGCCTTGGGCGCCGACGCTGTCCGGGAGGGAGGGTCCTGGATGTCCACCGCCAACGCCGCCAACGTCTTCCAGATGGGTCCCGAGGCAGGAAGTTCTCGGGCACCAAGCTTCAAAGGCGCCGCCCTCGCCAAGGCGGCATCCGAAAACGAGTCCTCAGGCGCCGGCGTCCGGTTGTCGACGAGAGGGGGGCTGACAAGACCCCACAATACTGATAAAGTTAATAATGATAAAGTTACTAATAATAACTTATTTGCACAGTTCCATTTATCCACTCGCCAGCGTGATCAGGCTCGACAGAAAGGTGAAGACACTATGCCATTGTGCCCAAAATCTCGCAACTAAGTGGGTGTAAAATTGCTCGCGGCCTCGGCTGCATAATGATGACCATTGACAATCCCGAAGTAGGGGTAGCAAAACGTGCTAGCAGTACGCAAACCCTTACTAATACTGCCAAAATCAAAAAAAAATAAAAAATTGCATTACGAGCCTACGACATGATACGTTTAACAGCGGCAGCAAGGTTGTGGTGTGTTTTCCTGCCATATCTAGCGGAGAGACTGAATTGCTGCATAGGTCACGTGACGTCAATTTTCCCACTAAATCTAGCGGGGAAACTGGATTGGTGCACAGGTCACGTGACGTAAATATTTCCGCAAAATTTAGCGGGGAAATTGTTTCGTTTACGCTCACGCCGTCACGAAACCGGGAGCCGGGCCACTACCAACTCTAAAAATTTAACAATATGAGTATTGCCCAAAACAAAAGAGAGGTACTAAACAAATCCACAAGCTTTATTTTACGGTGGCTTGGTATATTTTAGCCGGAGTGCCTTTTAAAACGGCCGCTGCTTTTTAAGCGCGTGTGGCCCCGATAGATAGCGCTACTTGCTAACCAACTCCTAGCTACGCCTAGCCACGATCCTTGCTCCAGCCACAGAGCTCAACTATCTAAACGGTACGTTTTCTTTCTACAGCGACAGATGGCGCCACCCTACCGATGCCGCAGCCCTAGCTGCAGCCGACTCCCGCTCGGTTTGCCCCGCACAGCCGCACATCTGGCTAGCAGACGACAACGGGTCTTCCGGTTCCCATTGTCAATGCGGACAACGGACAGCGCATGCGCGAAACTCCGCAGACATCCCAGTCCTCCCAGATCCATAACCGCGCAGCATTCTTCGACTAAGAACCGATACCACGTCTAGGGCAACACGGGGCTAGAAGATGGGATGCGCCCAAAACGAGCAAGCAACAGACTCGGGAGGAACACCAGTGACTTGATATCCGGAGGCTAGGCGAGCGCGTCGGCTCGCATTTGCATCCGCGGAAAATCGATGAGGACCTTGCCCTAAAGCCTCATCGTAAAAAAAAAAAAAAAAAAAAGAAAAAAAGAAAGAAAAAAAAAGCTGTTTTGATTATAAAAAGCATGGGAAGAGAAAAAAAACAACAACAAGAAAGTAGTTCAGTGGGGACGGAAAATCTGTCTGAGCTGAATCATCGGCGGTGGCACCGCCGTTGCTACCGTTGGCACGTTGTGTGTTGCTTTGTATTTCGTTACTTGCTATTGCGCGGTATGAGGGAAAAAAAATGAATAAAGAAGAGGCAGCTCATCTTTTAGCTAATAACCTCGTCTCGTATTATACGGACGCCAGTGATCGCGTATAAATACTTATGAGCAGTCGTAGGGTGCGCTTGTTATTCTGGAACTGCATTGAACGCAATGTTGAATGGCCGTTTTTTTTTAGGTTTTTATCTAAAAAAAAAATAAAAGAAGCCTCGTCTCAAGGTGTCGTTGACAGTCATCAAATTCTCCGATTTTTGGTTTTTAGATTAAAATTTATGCCAACAAATTGACAGATGCGATTGTGCCTGAAGACATCATCGAGAATAGATTTTTTTTTTTTTTTATCTGGCATAAAGGATGACATTACACGCACGGGAACTTCACGTTTTAAAAAGCTACCTCAACCACGCGAGAGAAAAGAATGATACAATTACTTCTACGATTAAAGCATAGAGGGCCGGGCCGTAGTTCCAAGATGGCGGAAGAGACGGGGATAGATGCTGCGCTCGTCAGTGCGCTGAAATAATTTAGCGCTGGTCAGTGCGCTAAATATAACTTATTTGTGTACAAATGAGAAAGGTTCAGGTCAGGAGCATATTTTAGGTGACGGAGATGTTGATGTGCGTTAGGAAGTGAGCATGTTGATATTTAAAAAAAAGTTGCGGGAATCTCAATTTGCGAAGCTTTGTGGAGGGCGAGCGCGTTTTGGGCACCGGCCACGTCGCTTCTTGTGGCAAAATATTTTCGAGGGTGATGAAGATTTCATGGTGTTTGCGCTTTGCATGGCCATGAGTGCTCTAAAAAACGAGCCGCGCGCGCTGACCTTTATGCTACGGAAGAGCCAGCGTTCACAGCATTGATGTCTTCGCAGCAAAGGCTCACAACTCGCTCCTCACTATCGAGAATTTAGTGTATTGGAACACATGATCAAACTGGGCAATGGTTATTGATAGGAAGGTTTAGGACAACGTGAGCGCATGCTACCGTACGGTGCAGCGTTGCAAGCGGAAGCTCGCGCTGCGCCTTTTTGGAGCATAATTTTCAGCGCGCGCCAGGAGCGTTGCCGTGATCACAGCAGACTGCGGTAACGCTATGCCAAAACTGCATATTAAGGTCATCGGCGTGTTTAGGGGTTTCATTTATTCCTGTATCAAGAACAAATATTTTATTATACGGTACAATGTTTGTACCGCGTTATTTGCAACGTTTCGACCCGCCCCGCCCAAACTGCCCGTTCTAATCTCGTCACGAACGGCTGCAGCTAATACAGGCGCGCCTAAAATGCCTCGATAATTTCTTTGTTTGCCTTTGTAATTACCTGAAAGTAATTAGGCGTATTCTCTCTTTTGAAAGTGCCCGGAGCAAATGGTCATGTTCCTTGTAACGGCCTTAAAACGCGAACCCATTCGCAATGTCGTTTGCTCGACAAGTTTTCTCATACTTAAAGCAAAAAGTTTGCTCGACCAGTTTTCTCCTACTTAAAGCAAAATGCATAATTATCGACTACAACCACTAACACCAGACAGCAGAACGTTTCTTCAAGCGATAAGTAAAAATGAATGCATGATTCGGTAGCCAGCCACTGCACCTGACGATGCGCGTACGGTTCCGAAATTCTTTGTAGAACAATAAAGGAAACAGGGTCACTGGACACATCTATGCGTCAAAAAAGTGCAGCTCAGCTTTATGTACGTAGTGAAGTACAAGAATGTGAGCTTAAATTCTCGGACCCTCTTCGTCTCTGGGACAGAGGAGGGGAAGGGGAGCGAGCTTACCAGGGAGCCGCGAGCCGCACTTGGACCCGCGAAGAGCCGCAGTTTGGCCTGATGTATACACTCAACGTCTAGTAGTATTTAACAACATCTTTCACACTATCTGCACACTGAACATCTAATATTCTTGCACCTCAAGAAAAGGATAAGCTAGGTAAGGTTACATGCCGTCAATGAAGCTGGTTTAGGTTCGCGTAAACGTTTAGGTTAAGTTAAAAAGGCACTAAAGTGGATTCTGAGGTCGTCTCTCTGTAGATCCAAACTGAATCTACGAGCCCTAAGCGTCTGATAAAACCCAAAAGTAGAATAATGCGTGATCTATTTCCAACCAAACCCCCCCCCCCCCCCCCCCCCTCCTCCGCCCTCGCCTTCTTTCTATATATATGTGAAACAAAAAGTGTTCCACAATGTTTCGTCGTGTTTTAAACGAAGAAAAAAAAAACACACATAATAGTACTTTTGGGTTTTCTGAGATCCTTAGGCACATGGATAGAGTTGAGGCCATAAAAGGAACTCAAAATCCCCTTTAGTGCCCTGAACACAGGTCCGGTTGGAGGCACCTTCTGGTCGAGGTCCGAGGGCGACTTGTGCTGCTCCTTCTTGCCCCTGGGCTGCTTGAGCTGCGCTGGCTGCGGCGGCGTCGGACTGGGCGTGGACGACAGGCCGTTCAGGGAGCCGTCCAGGGAGTCCGCGCCCCCGTCGCCGGTCTCCGCCGGCAGGCCCGAGTCCCGCCCGCCGTCCTCGTCCACCTCCTTGTCGCCGGGCTCCAGCACACCGTTGGACTCGCCGGCGGCGCCCGAAGGCTCGGGGACCCCTGGCGTCGTGCCGTTAGCCCCGTCACCCGCAACCCTGGACGAGAACGATGGACGGTCAGCGCCACTTCAACCAACTCGCTCACGAACACGTTAGATTACCCTCGCTCACGCTTACCGCGTCATTCTACCTGACTAAATGACTTTAGGGATACTCACGCACTTGCGACTGCTGACGACCGGCTGCCTAGCTGGTCATTAGCAGGGGCAAGTGTTTTAAGTCTCTCCTTAAAGGCCCGTTCACACTCTTGCGACCGAGTAAGAGTGAGAGAGCTCCGCTACAGCGCATTCGGTCCCAAGAAGTCGCAAAAGGCTTAAAAACCGGTCTGGTCTCTCTCGGTCGCAAGAGTTTGAACGGGCCTTAAGCAAGAACAAATGGTGATTCACACAGTTGCGTTGAATCCGACCGGGTGCGAGGGTTGCTATGGGAACAGCTGTGTTGCCTCCAACAAAACGGGGAAAAACCGGCTTTGCTGGAGCCAAGGCAGATGCTGCCATAGCAACCCTCGCACTCGGTCGGGCTCAACCAGTAAGCAAGTAAGCAGTCGCAAGAGGCTTCAAAACGGTTTTAAGCGTTTCCGGTCGTAAGCAGTCGCAAGTATGTGCACCAGCTTTCATGAGTTCACGATGTGATGGGGAGGGACTTGGTGAACTCTGATGAGTTCATAATGTGATGTTGAGTGACTTTGTACGATCTGAAGACGGAAGAATTTATGGGCTTGAGTGATTTCGTGAACTCTGATGAATGCATGATGAATTGGATGACTTCGCATGATGTGAATTCGAAATAATTTATGGGCTTCAGATTGAGTTGCTCCACAATTCACGAGCCACGGACATTAGGCTACGGCCCCAAATTGTACGCTACCATTCGGACCTCCGCACGTTTTCTGCTTCCGCGGATGAGCCCCGTTTCTTCCCGGTCTGTGGACAGCTTTATGACTTGCAGCTGCAGGACTAGACGCGATGGCGGTGGGGTCGATTTACCGAGGGAACGACGGGGGGAATTGGGGAGAGGTGCGCCGAGAGGGGATAGCTTGGCCGAGTGACTTTAGGGTGTGGGGGACCAGTCGAACGAAGGAACTTGAACCTGAAAGGAGATCGCGGCGACGCCGACCCTGAACAGTGAACGAACGATGCCTTCGTATATCTCTGTAATCCAGTTAAAAGAATTGTCCGGCCAAATTCAGTGTTCGAGAAAACAACTGAATATCATTGTTATTGCCTCGAAACGCATCGTCCGTGCAATATTTGAATTTTATATGCCACTCTGCATGTGTAATTAAATTTTAAACTGCTCCAATCGCATCCTAGCATAAGCGTTGTTCTCGTTGGCAACACTGAAGCTCTGGCGTCACATAACGCAATGCGAGCATTTTCGTCTCGTCCTTTGCCTGCGAGTGAGTGCCGATGCGTGCTCCATTTTTGTTGTTGTGCTCGACTTGTTTCGTGGATGGGTGAGATTTTTGTTGCGCGGTTGGGTGCCACAAGCACCGATCAGCACCTGCGATCCACGAGACTTGCAGCGAGACGATAAAAATGGATCGTTGCCGTGCGTAGGGAGCACTGTGTTCTCTTCAGGATCGAGATCCCGCTTATGCAGCAATCATTTCACAGAAAAGAGCTACGAGCTGAGTTCTAAGCAGACAGAAGGCTCGTAAGATGAGGTGTGATGCTGTGCCAACGATATTGAACTTGACTACGTCCACCCACTCCACGCCCAAATCGGATCAATCGGTTCGATTATGCAGCGAAACCGAAACCAACAGCTAAGCCATCTTGAAACGATACCAAAAGTTATATTTAGCACGCGTGGAGCCCGATTTTGCTTGACCCGCGTGTGAAAATAGGGCGTGGCTACGATTCACCAAGCTCGTGGGAGTCAAGTGACGATCTAGAAATGCTGCATGTATTCTGAACAATTCGCCGTTTGCCTTCGACCCGCGGACATCGCCTCCGAGGGAACGACCCACACCCTCATCACCAATACCGTGGATCCGCCGCTTCGTGGACCCAGATGCCGCTTCAGAAGCAAAATCTGCGTCCTTCTCTTTGCAAGCGCTGCTTGTCCGATCGGCATACGTCTGCTCGAAGCTAACGGCTGTTTTCGAGTAATATCCAGCTAAAAGGCCCGACTCTTTGGCACACGCCTAGGAGACTATATAATTCGAAACAAAATACGAGACATCCATCGACCAACGCTTGTTATTTCGACCATCCGACAATCCTTTGGGTTTTGTGACGTCACGCGGCAGCTACGGATGTCAGCCACTAATACTGGCGAAATTCACGGTGCAGTTTCGTACACATGCTCATGAACGCCTTAATTAATATTGGGACATCATATATCAGAATAAAAATTACGTTTGCCTATATGAATGCTTTCTCGACGTAACGAGCGTAAAAACTTAAGTACTTCCGGTTTAGACTGGACAATCCCTTTAATGTAATATAGTTTTTTTGTTTATTTGCGACCCTCATTAAATTAGTTCAGAACTGCGCGCAGCTTTTGCCACATGGGTGGTGTACGAAGGAGAATGACTTCGTGAACTCAGATGAGTTCATGACATGATGGTGAGTGACCTTGTGCGATACATTTTGGTCTAATATAACAAGACATAAATTGCGGGAACACCTGAAGTGTAAGAATATGCCACTCAATTTTCCCGCTAGATTGAGCGGAGAAACGCTTCCCTCTGCATTTTCGGGACATAGAGGCGAAGGCTTCAACAGCAGACGTGCTCACCCGTGCTCTCCGCTGGAGTCCGAGAGGCAGGAGTGAGCCCTGGAGAGAGCGGGCGACGAGCAGGTGGACGACGCCGAGTCCTCCTGAAGGGTGTCGGCGGCGTCCTGGCCGAGCCTGAGCAGCGTCTTCTCCTGCTCCTCAATCTCCTCCTCGAGCTTCACCAGCCCCGGCGGCTCTACGCCAAAGCGGGACGCGATGCGGCCCAGCTCGAGTAGGCACAGCACCACGCACCGGGGCTGGCTGTGCAGAACTGCCAAGCAGAAGACGGGGGAAAAAGATTCAACCGCCACCTTGATCTTAAAAGCCCCATAAAATATGCTTAAAAGCACCATAAAATATGCTTGTTTCCGGAGTTTATTTCACGTAAAATTCGAACGGCGTGTTCCAAAATTAATTTTTCGAAAAAAAAAAAAAGATTCACCCGCGATTTTGATTATTAAAGCCTTATAAATTAGGAGTGTGTGTTTTCGGAATTTAATTTCTTGTGAAATTCCGAGGCTGTTTTTCGGAGTTCATCTTTCGCTGAAAATTCTGGAGCTATCGGAGTTTATTTTTGCTATAGAGTAGCAATTCTTTGAAATTCTGAGTTCATTTTACTGTGTTCCCAATGAAAAAAAAAAAGACTCCGTACGATGATTCGTTGTCTTGAAGGAACCTTGACGAGCTGAAAAACAAACCCCTTTTATTTTTTAGTAGTTTGAGATTTTAAAGGAAAGTGAAGTGGCATCTCTTCAGGACCACTGGCCATGAGCTCTTATAATTTTTTTTGTTGTTGTTGTAAAACAACGTCTTCTTGTGTTTTTTATTTCGCCATTGTGACCTCGAAATTCGGTGTTTTTCGGAATCCGAATTGACGATAATTAACGAAAAAGTAATTAGGGAATTTTTTTTTTTTTAGATTTATATGAAAACACAGAACTTTACCTACATTAGGATTCTGTCTTTTCGGATAAATCCGATAAACTCCACAAAAACATCTGCCGGCAAAAGTTTCGACAATTAAAAACTTCGAATTCCGAAATCATGATGGCAAAAAAAAAAAAGCGAAAAAATACATAATATTTCTAATAAAGTTCGGCAGAGTGCAAGGTTAGCGATGCTGAGAAAATGCAAATTCATTTTTGTTTATTTTGGACAACTGACAAAGGAGAGTTCCCCGTTTATCTCGTCAAGGTTCGTTTCATGGGGCAGTGCACTTCTGGACCATGACAAAAGCCAATGTTCCCGCTTCCACTTTGGACCATACTATTTTTCTCTTCTTAGAGGGAAGAGGGGTTGTGTTTTTATTAGTAAAATATGTGAACCTATAGATTTCATAGGATAAGGAGAACCAGCTGAAATTTTTATGCGTCCAGGGGCGTTTACCGATGTTTATTAAAGAAACACTTGCTTGCCGAATTTGTCGTGGGACAGTCAGTACTGTCGATCGCGAGGGCGCCAATGATATTTGCAGCTGAAGGAATATGTTTTCATACCAGCAATTTTTGTTTATGAATTTAGTAAACGTTCTTTTGTCCCGAATTTCCAGCGACAAATAAACACCGAAAACAACTTTCGAATTCTACAAAAACTATCTATAATGCATGAAATGCAGAATAGTTTAAATTTGTTTAGAAGATATTAAACAGTCATGTGGGGGACTACATCTTTATAAAATTCCCCGCCCAATTTTCCGTGAAAACTGGCTAGGTACAAAAGTCAAGTGACGTTAATTTTCTCGCCATATTTAGCGGGAAATAAATGGGTGTATGCGTCACGTGACGTCCCTTTTCCCGCTAGATTTAGCAGGAAACTAAATTTGCGTGTAGCTCACGTAAGGTCAATTTTCCCGCTAAATTAGGCGGAAAATTGACGGATGGTCACAACTTCATGATTGGGGGGAGAGAGATCCGCTCAAAAGGATTTCATGCTTTTAAAAAAAGTTGTCCTTCATTCAGGGCCCCCAAAGTGAGACAGACTGCACTGCGCACCAAACCTATATATACACGGTTTCAAGCAAGATATGCGAACCGAGTATTTCGTGCCGCAAAGATTAACTACGCATCGCCGAAAGTTCTTGCTTTCCTATACAGCCATAAGATTTATAGCAGACGTTTTGCCAGCAGAAAGCAAAGTTCAGACAGAGAGAAGAGGGAGCCAGTGGCCCTCTTCTGGGAAAATACCGCTCAGTGGCAAGTACTAAACACAAGCGAACGGACAGTTCCACAGATTGTATAAAAGTCAATTACCAAGCAGCTGTACGAAATTACGAAGGCACATATGTGATGGCAGAAAAATGGTCCGTTTCTACTGCGCCTTCAGTATATGTTATGTCGTAACGCGTGTGAGCAAACCTCATTAACTCACACGCGCAATAATAGAAGTCTTCGACAGAGAACAAGAAACGCTCCAAGACAGGGGGAAAAGGCGAAGGACAACACAACACACAAAGTGTCAAACACAGCTGAAATTGTATTTCACAGAAGTTCCTGACTATATAGGGTTTCGGTGCGCCCCCCCATGTTAAACTTTCACCAGCTCGTTTGCGCCCTAACGTTTTGTTCGAAACATGCTATTCTTGAACTTACGCACATTTGCGAAAGTGCCCGGCAGACCTCCTTTGTTCCGCCTTCCTCCCTCGTTTAATTGCGAGGCCGCGGCTAATTCGATTTCGTCGACGCAGCCCCCAATCAACCTAAACAGTAGAGTGCTAATTGAAAAAGTGAAAGCCGCTTACAACTCCCTGTAACGCCGAATTAGAGCGCAGCTCTTGAGGAGGAGGAGGGAAGGGCGCTGGGGGGGGTTAGACTAACCAGGGGGGTCACGTGACCTTGGGGGTCACGTGACCCCCAATGCCGATGATGTCATCAGTGACGATGACGATGCGGGTACCGATGACGTCATTAGTGACGTCACTGATGACTTCACCAGTGATGATGACGATGACGATGCGAATGTCGGTGACGTCATCAGTGACGTCGCTGACGACGTCATCAGTGATGATGACGATGACGATGCGGATGCCGGTGACGACATCAGTGACGTCACTGATGACGTCATCAGTGATGATGACGATGACGATGCGGATGTTGGTAACGTCACCGGCATCCACATCGTCATCATCACTGATGACGTCACCGGCATCCACATCGTCATCGTCATCATCACTGATGACGTCACCGGCATCCACATCGTCATCATCACTGATGACGTCACCGGCATCCACATCGTCATCGTCATCATCACTGATGACGTCACCGGCATCCACATCGTCATCGTCACTGATGACGTCACCGGCATCCACATCGTCATCCTCATCGTCACTGATGACGTCACCGGCATCCACATCGTCATCATCACTGGTGACGTCATCATCACTGATGACGTCACCGGCATCCACATCGTCATCGTCATCATCACTGATGATGACGTCATCAGTGATGATGACGATGACGATGTGGATGCCAGTGACGTCAAAAGTGTCGATGACGTCATCGGGGGGTCACGCGACATCGGCGGGGTCACGTGACCTCGGGGGGTCAGGTGACCTCGAGGAGGGGGTCACGTGACCTCAGGGGAGTCACGTGACCCCGGTGGGGGCTCGCGCGGTGCATTATGGGAAATTTCCCATGATGCACCGCGCGGTTACGCCGACGCCGACGGCGACGCCGACGCCGCTCAAGCCGGAAACGGGCCCCTAAGAGCTGCGCTCTAAAAAGAAAGCCGTTTCAGGCGGTCATTTAACGACTGCTTCCGAGCTTAGTCAGTTAACCTTTCTTCGTCTTCGCTGCCCGGGCAGACTCCTGTCCGTCGAGCGTTTGTAGGCTAGCCAGAATGTTGAAGACACGGTTCGTTACACTGATTATGTACTGTCGTCACAAACGCATTCTGAAGAACCACAAAGTAAAACAAAGAGGGACCGGAAGGTGATATGGGAGCTCTTGCCACAAATTGGCTCTCGAACTTGAGGCGTTTCTTTGACACGCTTGTCGTCGGTTCGTCGACACGCGATTCGTCGACAACCACGGTGACGGACTAATTTCTAGATTCGTGCAAAGAACATAGGAATAAGCACTAGATTAAAAGAAAGGAAGATGGACACCTGCGCGCGCGAGGAGAAAAATAGATGGCGCACGATGCAGAGCGCCACAGGTCTCGTTCAACAGGCCGCAAGCAGCGAGAACGCGATGAGACGCCCCGGGTTGTTCAACACCGGAGCACCATGCACCGCGGGGGACAAAGGAAGGCGAGCACATCAACGACGCAATCGCGAACCCACGCACTCGAGGAAGCAGTGCACGTCGGGAGGAACCAAGGAGCCCCGTTGTTCGTGACTGCCAAAACAATTATGGCATCCCGCCCCCAACGCCGCCGCGCACTCTCCCGCCGTGTCACGAAATGCCCCGCTCGGAAGCGCGGCCACATCAAGGGGCAACGAACACTCGGTCGGGGCGCTTCGCAGACTCCTCCTCGGACACAACATCACTGAGAAAGGGCTTCATCTCTGATTGTCTGGAAACGAAACAAAAAAATAAAGAGAACAAGAAACGAAACACAAAACTACAGAGTGGGTCAAGACACAGCTAAGGTTGGAAGCTGTCTTTTATTCTTGTTTTTGAGCAAGAGCACCAGTGCCGAGTGGAAGAAAACACAGAACAGACATGGCGCAGATACGTATCTATATCTACCGAAATGAATGAACGGCTATCTATACCTCGAAACACTCAGCCTAAATGTTTTGCAAGCCTAATCTGAAGCATCCCCCGACTTCTAAGAAAGTCCATTTTTTCCCCCCCTTTTTTTTAGTGCATCACTGACAAGTTTTGGGATTTTTTCTTTTGTACACAGGGGTGAGAGTATCTATACCAATCAATATATATATATGTTTATATATATATGAATCTCTTATCCGTCTATATCCATCTACCAGTCTCTCTATCTATATCAACGCCATTCCCCGCACACACACAAACAACGAGCACAGACAAGAATAAGCAATACACACGCACACAAAGACACCGAGAAAAAAACAGTGTTTCCATATATTAGGTTAGTTTCTTCCCGTTTGTGGTCCCGCCGCTATCAAACTTTCCGGGTTACGTAGCCAATGACAGACATTTAATGTGTAGATACATGGTTTATTTTTCAGCCCGTGAGCTGTCAATTGCAGCAGACGAACTATCCAGCATATGATGTCAGTAACGTCCAGGTTTAGGCTCCGGAATAGTGCGGACAGTTCGAAAAAGCGGTTACTCCGCACGCGTACTGCCCACCGGTGACGTGTGTAAACAACAAGTCGGTGTACGCAAGCTTTCGGGAAGCAGAAATAAACTTAATCGCCGCGTGCCGCTTCCCGAGAAAAGCTGAAAGAGCGGAGAAGAAGGGGGCAGAAAACGGAATGAAGAAAGAATAAAGGACTCACCGAGGCCGTCGGACTCGAACATGACGGACTCGTTGACGCCGAACTTGCGACACCAACGGAGGAAGTTGTCCACGTTGTCGCGCGCAAAGAACGTCTCGGACTTGGCGTTCTCCCAGCACTTGAACTCGAAGCTGGGCACCGCCTGGGCGGAACAAGAGGAACGGTGCACGGGACGCGTCAGAAGCACGTCCAAGAGCTGTCGCGAGAAAAGCATTGTCGTGTCGACGTAATGTATTCGGGGGAGAGCGCGAACGGAGGTCGAAGGAAGAGAACAGACAAGGCGCGCTGTTTACAAACAAACGCCCGTTTTTTTCTGCGCAGAAACCCGATTGGCGAGAAGTGAAGGGGGCTGCGCGAGCGAAGAAAGTAGTGTCGCCACAGGAGCGTATAACTTCAGACGCCGCATGTTGATGTATGTGTATGGCCACGTGGCAGGCTTGGAAACCTAATAACGTTGTGGAAAACCAAGATCGACAGCCCTCTATAATACGTTGGATGACTGTATGAAAACACCCTGGTCACACCTGACAAAATCGTCGTTCGTGGAATGCCAACGACCGTCACGTGGTTTGGTTGTGGCGGTATGTGGTGGCGGGTGCCGTGACCAGACCACGTGACAGGACGTCAGGGAACGTAACGCCGCACTGAATCTAGTGAGCGAACGTACGTTTAGTCCTTCGGAGGAGTCCGGAGAACATCAGCATTCATCAAGCTCTAGACTTCTTTGCCGACGCGTGGTCGTGCACCGCTCTGGGGCCCTAAACTCGTCGAACACAAAGTTGGAGCCCAAAGTTAGCGGAGCGCGCCGATTGGACGCCGCCGAAAAAAGCGCCAAGTCATCGTTGGGATCGTCCAATCGGTGCGTTCCGTGAACTTCGGCCCAAACTTTGTGTTCGACGAGTTTAGCACCCCTGGAAGAGTTTCAGCCCACAGATGCTGCAGCGAAGGGACACACGCAGAATGGCCGCTCCGCGGGCGTAGCTTCTTTGCAACGCACCCTTGCGCGCTAAAAGGCGCACTCAACAATGCTAGTTAAACCGCCCAACCAGACCACGACGAACAAAACAAATCGCAAATCATTCTAACCGATAACTGAAAGTTGTGAAACGTGGAAGGATGTAGCGGGGTAATCACTTTGGCGTGTTAGCACACTGCAAGTGTTTGCAGTCTTGCGGGTCATACCATGACCCCAGACGTTCGTTTACCGGAAGAATACGTTACCGATCGTCTTTCCCTTTTAGAATCCCTTAGCTTAACCCCCCCCCCCCCCCCCCCCCCCCGCTTAAAAAAAAAATATAGAAAAGAAAAAAAGAACGAATTGCGAAAGTCGTTGCTGTGAAGTCTGATCACAGGGAGATGCTTGAAACTCTTGGAGCTCGTTGAGTAGATATAAAGTGAGCCAGGGTTACCGAGCCGGAAGGCAGTCATCTAGAGTCCCCTACGTGTCTCTCTCGGTTTCCATCAGTGACTACTCCCCCTAACACACACCCCCCCCCCTCGAACACCCCTCCTACGGTGTGCCAACCCGATTCAAAACCCAGGATAAACCCCTGCCCTATAGTAGCCGAAGCCGACGAGACGCCGAAATATTATTGCAGGTTGGACAAGGGACAACTGGATAAAGAGCTCTCTGCTGTTCTCGTCCCGCGAGTGACTATGCCATCATACGGCCATCCGTCCAGTCAGGAAAGTAGGCCTCGCCAGGTTTTCGTGGCCGCCACGAAGATGCGCTTTCTCCTCCGACAGCTCGTAATCGAGAGTGAGAAGCGAGCTCCACTCATCGGGCAGAACTTGGGCTGCGCCTGGCAGATAAACGACCCCCCTGGAATAGAGCACAGAAGACTGCTCGCGAGGCGAGACAGACACAACAGAAGGCGGGGAAAGTGTGAAACAAACAAACACAGGCCACAACGTGCCTCTGTTTGTGTTTTCTCTTCGAGGCTCTATCTTCCGGCAGGAAGGCGCGGTGAGTTACGCAACAACCGTAAAAGGGAACCTGGCGCTGATAGAGACTTGCACGGAGCTGCCGCCTGTCAGCTGAGAATAGGGGGAAATATACGAAGCTGGTGGCGAGATTCTGGCGCGTTTGAGACGATAGTAATAATTTTAATAATAATAATAAATAATAATAATAATAAAAAAGGGGTCACCGGTCTGCTTAAGTACAGGAGTGAATAGAATTAACGCGCGGTTTCCTTCTCCAGGAGAGTAAAGGGATATCCTAGGGCGTGTTCGAACCATCCGAGACAATCAGCACTATTCATATGCGACGCGGAGACCGAGCTTTTCGCGTTAAAGGCGTAAAACTTCAAAATGTGGACATCACTTTTTTTTTTTTTTTTTTTTATCATTCTTTCTTCGAAAGCAACATGCTTTGAAAAGCTAAACTTTTTAAAAATATTTCGAAATTTCGTTTACCTCAGAAGAAATTAGTATACACGACTCGAGAATCGTTCCTGCGTTCTTCATTTTTTTTCTTTTTCTTCTAAGCACCGTTTTTTTGTTTTTTTTTCTTTTCTTTCATTTCTCTTCTCATGCAGTACGATGTCTATACGAACGTTGGAAAACCGCTGCGGTTTCCCGAGACGTCGTTTTCCTAATCTTGTATTGAAGGAACCGAGCTTTAACTGAGGGTGAGCGTTTAATAAACAGTGTTAGAGGTGCGAATATTTCAATTCGTGCGAGTTGCCCGAGCCCAAAAACAGAATTCAAAATGTTTTCTTTTTCCCCCTTTACCTCCTTTTGAAAAACAATTTGAGGCTAAGGAGCAGCAGCCTAAAGCGGATAAACACGCGAGCTAAAAAACATCCCTTCGTCTTCTGTGTCCGTCCCCCGGTCTCTTCCCAAGTTTCAAATGGAAAAAGCTGAGACGACCCAAACCAAACCAGGAGGCGATATTCTGATCGACACGTCCCGGGCAGTTTCCCGCAAGCTTGCTTCAAACCAGCCGGCGCCTGTTTTGCTTTTCCAGGCGGGGGCAGAGCAAGGCGCAAAGGTCGCACACATCGCCCCCGAAAGCCAGCGGCAAGACAAGCGAGAACCATGGCGGCATCGGCGGCACACTCACAGCCAGCGCAGAGGGAGAGGTTGACGGACCCTGAAACCGAAGACTGCGACCCTCGCCCCACGCCTCCCCCTCAGCGGTAGTAAATTTGGACGAGCTCTATTTACAAACACCCACGGCGACGCCGACGACGAACGAACCGCCGCAGTCTCCTCAGGATGCTGGGGAACCGATCTCCCTCACCCTCTCCCACACTCCTCACCTCCTCACCCACGTTTGTCGGACGTCTTCTGCCACCCTCCCCCCCCCCCCCCCCCCCCCCCCTCCCCCCTCCCCACCCAGCTCTAGCAGCCTTCTATCTATTTTCTTTTCGTGTCCAGTTGGCGTTTTCGCGAGTGATCTATGCAAGTCTGGCAGCCGCCATATCTCTGCTCGTCTGAGTTAGGGCGCCTCGATGTCAGGCAGCCTAGTCCGAGTTATAAGCAAGCGCTATTGCGAGCATGCGAAAGCAGTCCTCACTCGCACGCTGCACCTGCTTGCACATATGGAGATTCCTGTGACAATCGATCCAAAGCTACGGCCTTGTGAGCTGGTCAAAGTTATGCACGCGCACTCTTCATTTCTGAAATTGAACCTTGCCCCCACGCAAGTAAGTGGCAAAAAGGACCTAGGATAAATTATGCTAGAAAACAGCAAAATTAAATGTAGTAAAATGCGAACAGTTAAACATAATAATAATAATAATAATAATAATTTTTATTGACAGTCTCGAGGTACAATCAGTTGTAACGGGTCTGTCAAAGCCTTTAATGGATTGTGGGACGTGACCCGGCAACGGCGTAAAGGAAAAACAACACAGGAAATCGGAATAGAAACATACATCACTACAACAACAACAAAAACTACAACTCACATCGAATGCAATAGATAGATAGATCTTCTGAAGCAACATTTAGAGTTTACCAGGATTACGCCTATACGGACGTGAGAAAGCTCAGCTTATTAGGCGTTTCCCAAGCGTGCTAAGCGGGCGAATTGTGCGCGGCTCAGGATTTTGTTTTTGTGGTCGAAAAAGAGGTATAACATTTTATTAATTAATTACAATTCGTGAAATGCGACACCATAGTCGGTGATAGTTAAGTGGAAGCTTCTCCCACCTCTTTCCCCTATGGCAGAGCGAACACTGGAAAGGAGGCGGCCTGCTCTTACAGCGTTCGCTCTCCTAGAGTGGAAAGAAGTGGGAGTAGCTTCCACTTTGCTCTTAACCTGTCACCGACGATAGTATTTTTTTGTACGCGCCAACCGTGCGGGTGTCACAACGGCAAAACATAAAGACCCTGCTGTGCAAGACCCGAAATATTCCAAGTCACCCCTGCACTGGTGATTGACGAGTCAGACATATTAGAAAAGAAAAAGAAAAGATGCAAGTGCCGCGGAGGTCATGGCTACCCCATACCCAAAATGCGTAAATCGCAGTCATTTCTCACCAGAGTGTTCTCCCCGCAAAGCGGACGCAGTATTTCTTTTAAAGGTTCAAACATAAATTCGTGGTAAAAAAAACAAACCGGCCGAAAATCGTACGAAACTCACGACAAGCGAAAATAGTTTCGAGCTATTTCTCTACGGTAAATGTAGACAGTCGCATGTATGGCTAAAAAAAATATAATAAGAATCATGAGCCATTCAACTCTGTGAAGGTGGATGACCGGCGAAGCTCTTTTGCACACGACACAGACCCGCCTCGAGGAGCCGGCGGAAAGTAGACACGCGCGACGGCACCGCCACCCCGGGAGAGCGGAAGGAAAGGAAACTATGCCAGCAAGAGCTTGGAACGACGACAGAGAGAGGGCGGTGCGAGCGTAGACATGGCCGACGCAGGGCGCACAGCGGCAAAACTTTCAGGAACCTTTCTTATCTACCAGAGAGTCTACTGATCTTGAAAATGGTGCCTATTGATAACTAATCTACTAAATAGACCTAGGGTGCCTTCATGTGCGCTTTGCTTAGGGTGGAGACATCTGGCCATTTTGTCTTACACTTTTATTTTTATTTGTTGTTCAGAAGCGCGTGAAAGAGCGTGTCCTTGCACGCGTTTGTGGCGCTGACTGTGCTATGGCGACATTTTGTTTTCGTAGATT